TGGAAATATATGCATATGCACATAATGTTTTTTAATTGTCGTAAAACATTAGCTGAAAATGTAAAAGTAAAAATCAGACTTTATACATACATGTACATCAATCGTTATTGTATAAGCTTAAAATCAGATTTTATGCATGTATCAATTGTTATTATATAATCATTAAGAAAAACATCTTTTTTTTTTTTTTTTTTTTTTTCTTTTTTTGAAAATTTGTAGTAGGGTTTTTGATAATTATTTTTAGAAAATTGTTTTTGAAGACCAAAAAATTTGAGTTATAATTTTTCTTTTATATTGTGTATTGGCTATAAGCCGCTTATTATGATGCTATTAAGGTTGTTGAATTTTAACTCTTTTTATATTATTCATACGTAAAGATGTTTACAATAATAATTAGATAAATTATTTATGGTTTTCAATGGGCAAGATTTGTTATAATGAATATTGAATTAGCGATGTTCATAACTTTTATATCCACAAGGAATGAGGCCCGACATTCAAGCGACTGAACATTGACAAACGGGCACAGGTTTTTTCAGAGAAATTTCCATTTATTTTAAATGTTTTGATCTTGTTGTGTTTTCCTGGGCGAGTCGGTTCGCATACTTAATATTTTTGTCTTTCCTTTCCGGCGTAAATTAATTTTCAAAACAGTTATACATCAGACTAAGTCTTTGTGTTTTTCTCTTTTATTTTTTAAGAAAAGGAACGTTATACATTTACTTGAGTATCTCGTGGATATTTGGTTGTATTATTTTTTTGCAATATCAAAACTGCTTAGCTTCATTAACTGCTGTTGAATTTGTTCCTCTCTGCAAAATAAATCGCACGTCTGGTATTGCATTCATGTTTTTGTTATTTCTTTAAACGAATGATAGTGAAGAAAAGACCAAGGTTTTTCCATATTTGGACAATGTGACCTAGTTTTGGACCCCAGGTGACCCATATTTGAACTTGCCCTAGAAATCATCAAAACAAACTTTCAGACAATTTCAAGGATATTTGTGGATCAAAAACAATAGCCACTAGAGTGTTAACAGGATTTTTTTCTATTTTTTTAGCTCCTGTGACCTTTGTTTTTCATCCGAAGATGAATGCGATGTTCTAATTAACCAAGAAAAGTATCCTGAACAAAGTTTGATGATGATCGAGGCAAAAAATGAATGACAGCTAGATCTGTGTTAACAAACAAATGTGGACTACGACGAATATTCAACGATCCTAAAAGCTCACAGTGTGATAGCCTAGCGTGAGCTAAAAAAACTTAAGGGAAAGAGTGACAAGCTTAATATAATAGTCAAGCTTTTGAAAAGTGAGCAAAAACTGGCATCATAAACTGGCATCATTTAATTACAAAGCTTGCTAACCTTATGGTGTGCCTTGACAAGCTAATAACACTGGTTTACCATATAAACATTAGTTATCTTAGAACCATGGTTATATGTAATACTGATATATCAATCAGACAAAAACATGTAATACAAAACATGTACTAGTATCTCAACCCTAAACAAACAATGTACTAGTATATCAACCCGAAACAAACAAACAATAACAGTAATACATGTTCCAGTCTATCAAAAGGAAACAAACAGAAATACACACTGGGGTTTATCAACCGGAAACAAACAGTAGAATAGATTTACCAGTTTATCAACTGGAAACAAACAATAATAGATTTACCGGTTTATCAACTCCGAGATGACCCATTTTCGATTTAATCACAGCATGCTCAGGTGAGCTAAAAATCATCTCTCTTAATAACTTAAATAAACCCTGCTGACTGCTTCATGAAACAAGAGCTGTGCTCAACTTTTCTTTTTTTTAATTCAAATTTAAAAATGTTTTCTTGACTAGTTTTGACTTTATATTAAAAATCAACAAGTACACTGTACTACTGATCATTTTATGTCCTCAAGGCAGTCTACCAAACTGTATTCAAATTCCCAGCAGATTAATCAAAATGAATTATCCATTTAATCTGAAATTGATGCATTCAGATTTTAATACCCCTGAATTAAAAATTCATATCAATTCCAAACAAGTAATAGAGATACAGAACGAAAGGGAGCAATAATTTGCAATAAATTCAATCAATTGATATCTACTCAGACACTTTACAAAACATAACACAACTTCCAAGTTAACATTTGTGTTGTTGACAATGTTTTTGTAACATATCTTCATAAAAAAGATGAAATGCAAAACATAATTCTTAAAAAGCTTTCTCTTGAAAAAAATATATATACATGATTTGTAAAACATAAAAAATGACACACAAATCAACAACCCAATTGTGACTAGAAAATGTCTGAATAGTACAACTTTTGTAAGCATTTCACATAAATCAATGAAGCAAGGTTTTTTAAGTTACAGATAATCATAGCAATAATCAGTGTGGGAAATAAAAATAATTTGACCTTAGTCAAGACAATACAGGAGTCGAGGTAAATTTGAGTTTGATGTACATGAAGGTCCTGACCTAAGAAAATTAAATGTTGGGTCATAATATGAAGTAAAGCCATTCATTAACAACAGTTATAGCCAGTTTGTAGATTGTAGAAGTAAGAAAAACAAGAGAATATCATTTATTTGACATTGACAGTCAAAGTCAATTTAAGGTTTTTAATCATAACCACCCTAATTATTTCAAATGGACTTGTCCATCTTTAAAAATTTGAAATATTTACTGTATAAATTGTGAACATTGGAGACCATGATCACACGGCATGGATGCACTGGTCGCACGGTAGATTATTTTGCTGACAGCAGGCTAAAAGTTAAAAACTTTAGTACAAAAGGGAGCATAATTCAGTCAAAATACATGGCAGAGTAATGAATCTTCAATTATGACCCTAAGAACATGATTGTGTAAAGTCTCAAGTAAATATCTTTGAAGACCTTTAACAAAAATTTCTAAGTTTCAAATGGGCAAATAATTCTGTAAATATTGCAGGCAGAGTTATGCAATTTTGCAAACTGATGTACATTGTTACTATAAAAAGTATTTAAGTATTGTAAATTTCAATTGAATATCTCAAGCAATAATCGAGGTATTTGACTTTACAAAAAACTTTAAACAAAATTTCCAACATAAAAAGGGGCGTAATTCTGTAAATATTGTAGACATTCTGTAAATATTGTAGACATTCTGTAAATATTGTAGACAGAGTTGTCCAACTTGTCAGTCAGGTGTACATTGTTACTATTAATAAGTATTGTAAGTTACAATTGAATATCTCAAGCAATAATTAAGATATTTGACTTTACAAAAAACTTTAACAAAAATTTCTAAGTTATAAAATGGGCATAATTCTGTCAATATTGTAGGTAGAGTTATCCGACTTGTCAATCTGATGTACATTGTTACTATAAACAGGGCTCATCCGGAAGGGCGATTCAGGCGAAAACTTCGCCGTGTATATTCCAATTTCGCTCTTCCGATTGATCAAAGAGAAGTCAACATCGCCGATAAAATCTTAATTCCCAAATAGTAATTACTTAGCGATGTAAAGAGCAGAGATTGTATCCGCCCATATGACGACCGCTAATTATCATTATCCAATCAGAGCGTCGCTTTATACTACCCTTCTACCTGTAAGCGAAGCGATAGACCGCTTACTCTAAACAGTAAATAATGAGAGCATCGACCCGAAACGGTATAATTGTGTGATAGTTTTGCGAGGTTAATACGGGATTTGGCGATAATTATACATTGTTTTTTCCCCGATTATCTAAACACGTGCAATCTTCCCCAATTGATATACACGATGCACTTCGATGGTGGGTTTTTAACTCGAGTAAAGGCGATGTGCAATGGATTTTTCATGGCTATCACAAAACTGTTAGTCAATTAAAAATAATCAATTTCATTAATGATCAGCGACCGGATTAAAAACTTAATCATAGTTTTGAATGATTTCAGTCTGTTAACATAAAATTTTTACTGTAAAATTGTTATGTCGCTCACGTCATGGCTACCGGGCGAAATGCCCAAACCTAGCAGTAAAAGAAAGTTACTGATTCTGATACACCTACGCGAAAATTTAAGAAAACCATTACGCAAAAATCTTGCGATTGGTATGTTGTAGCCAGGGTGGTGTTTTGGCATTGTTCTTTTGTAGAAATGCCAAATTTGACACAGTTTACGCACGTGGGCAAGACTACATATCGGTCGTATATCATGCAACGTATATAACAACAAAATTTGTCAAGAAGAAGAGTTCTTATTGTTTCAATATACATATTTATTTTAATGTCGTAAATATGACGCTCAGATTAAGATTTATCAATATTGTAAATTTTAAAAAGCATTATTTATAAAGATATTACCGAATTTAACATTTCATGAAAATAAAGGGAGGTAATTAGAAATTAATTTTCTACAATTTCTCAGTCAAATTTTTCAATAAGAAATGAATGCATGTAATTTTAGTGATCAAATATAATGTGCACAAATGTTTGCAATACATATTTTACATATTCTTTGATGTTTGAAAATTGCTTTATAAGCATAATTATATGCATATAAATCTGACATTACAACATTGAGGAGTTTCAAAGAAATTTCTGTTACCAGAACAGAATAGAACATATTTTATTAATCAATATCCAAGGTGACTTCATCTTCTAATAAAAGTGAGGAAAGAAAAAAAAATGAAATTGAATTTATCATCACATCTTTTCTTACACATTATTATCAACAAATGTACATGAAAATATATAAACACATATTTAGAGAAAGCTTATAAATAGCTGATCAATAGAATTATCAAAAATAATTTTTTATATTCATATTTGCAGCTCAAAAACATTTAGATGCCATTGCCAGATCTACTACTAATTAATCTACTTTTAATTAATACTACTATTAATTAATCTACTATTAATTAATTAACTATATGTTAATGCATACACATTGGGTTGTTTCCCTTCTCCCTAATTTTCGCGAGGAAGTCACTTCTCCCTAAAATTTCCCCCCAGGATGAGCCCTGATAAATAAGTATAAACTTTACAATAGTCTTATTTTTTTATTCTTTTGGATCATAGCTGATACTTTCTTAACTATGAGGTGCCAGTAGCGCCTATGGAGTTCACCTCCATTCTTCAGGCTCTGTTGCTTTGCTTTCACACAATCTTTTTTTGATGGTGTCTTTCCTGATTCAATGAGTTTCCCCAAATACAGATGTATTTCTTTCACTTCTTTTTCAGTCCATCTTTGTCTATTTTTCTTTTTGGATTTCGAGGGCTTGGCAGATTTATCAAATTCCATCCTTTCTTCTCCGCCTTCCTCATCTGTTTCTTCCAGGTCCATCATTGGTTCATCCATCTCTTCATCTTCCCCATCTACAGACCTGGCCCCTTGTGTTTCACATGCTTCATGTTCCTGCAGTGGCAGCCCTGATTGTTGTTGCTTGAACATTTCTGTGAATTCTACTTCTTCCAACTTTTTCCCAACAAAGTTAGACTGCAGATTTAAATCTTGCATGAGGAGAATTTTACCTATGTTCACTCTTTCAATATAGGGACTCATGGTCCTGTAGTGGTTCAAGTGTACTTTTGTTGTATGACCCAAATGTCTGCAAACTTGCTGAAGCTCGTTTGGTGCCAAATTCATCACCTGGAATATGAATAAATCTGTAGCTGATTTTCAAAATAACCTCGGACAAGAACAACTCCTTGCCTGAGGACTGAAACCAGGGCTGTGTTTGAATATTTACTACTGTCTTTTTATTCATTACAATTTTTTTTTGTATTTTAACGTGAATCATGAAGAATTAGATTAAATAAAATAAACATTTTTGAAAAATAGTTTATTTTAACCACAATAGCAGGAAGTGATACAACTGCTTTGCATTCTTAGATCCCAAAACTAAAATCATATACAATGACTAGTAACCAGTCAACAGTAGACTGGGGTTTGTTTTGTTTATGTGCAAGATACTTTAGATGTGACATAACCATTTTACAACAGTCTTAACTAAATAAAGGATAAAGTTGCAGCACAGAAAAAGCCAATCTCATATAATTTGAGCTTTGACTTCTCAGTGTGAACTTCACCTTAAGAGATGCAGACCTGGCAAACTGTCTCATGCAAATAAAGAAGTATGCTGAAGCATTGTGAAATCAATTGAAGAAGTACAAAGTTGGAGCCCTGATAAAAGAACAGGATGGATTATGACTTTGAGCTCAAGATCATTCATGGTACAATGGGTGGCGGTATAAAAAGATTCGTTCATAGACACTTCAAAGATTCTACTAGACAAATGGTTCCATAATCATGTTACTTACCTGACAGAGGGTAGCCATGTATTTCCTCAAATTTGTGCTGGTTAGCTGTTCTGGTCTTGTCAGTTCACACTCTGAACAGACAGCATTAAGACTGTCATATGCCCTTCTTGGTCCAAATTCTGAAAATTAGGAGTTAAGTTTATCACAAATACAATTTTCTCTAACAATTAAGATAATTTTTAATTAGAACTAGAACTATCACTAAATGTGATTAATACCCCAACAAGACTGCTTCGGAAATGAGGATGTTACTGGCAACAGAATACCTTGTAAAACAAAATTTTGTCATTGACTTCTATGTCTCTTCCGAAACAATCACACAAGCATACAGAAATAAATTTTGATTTTACAAATGGATACAAACTGATTCAGTTGAGCTTGTGCTGCAATCAATTACTTGTGTGACAGTCACACAAGAAAACAGGTATAATTTTGATTTTTTAACTTGTTACAAACTGAATCAGTTGAGCTTGTGCTGCAATCAATTACTTGTGTGACAGTCACACAAGCATACAGGTATAAATTTTGATTTTACAACTTGTTACAAACTGAATCAGTTGAGCTTGTGCTGCAATCAATTACTTGTGTGACAGTCACACAAGAAAACAGGTATAACTTTTGATTTTACAACTTGTTACAAACTGAATCAGTTGAGCTTGTGCTGCAATCAATTACTTGTGTGACAGTCACACAAGAAAACAGGTATAATTTTGATTTTTTAACTTGTTACAAACTGAATCAGTTGAGCTTGTGCTGCAATCAATTACTTGTGTGACAGTCACACAAGCATACAGGTATAATTTTGATTTTACAACTTGTTACAAACTGAATCAGTTGAGCTTGTGCTGCAATCAATTACTTGTGTGACAGTCACACGAGAAAACAGGTATAAATTTTGATTTTTTAACTTGTTACAAACTGAATCAGTTGAGCTTGTGCTGCAATCAATTACTTGTGTGACAGTCACACAAGCATACAGGTATAAATTTTGAATTTACAACTTGTTACAAACTGAATCAGATGAGCTTGTGCTGCAATCAATTACTTATGTGACAGTCACGCAAGAAAACAGGTATAATTTTGATTTTACAACTTGTTACAAACTGAATCAGATGAGCTTGTGCTGCAATCAATTACTTGTGTGACAGTCACACAAGAAAACAGGTATAATTTTGATTTTACAACTTGTTACAAACTGAATCAGATGAGCTTGTGCTGCAATCAATTACTTGTGTGACAGTCACACAAGCATACAGGTATAATTTTGATTTTACAACTTGTTACAAACTGAATCAGTTGAGCTTGTGCTGCAATCAATTACTTGTGTGACAGTCACACAAGAAAACAGGTATAATTTTGATTTTACAACCTGTTACAAACTGAATCAGTTGAGCTTGTGCTGCAATCAATTACTTGTGTGACAGTCACACAAGAAAACAGGTATAATTTTGATTTTACAACTTGTTACAAACTGAATCAGTTGAGCTTGTGCTGCAATCAATTACTTGTGTGACAGTCACACAAGAAAACAGGTATAAATTTTGAATTTACAACTTGTTACAAACTGAATCAGTTGAGCTTGTGCTGCAATCAATTACTTGTGTGACAGTCACACAAGCATACAGGTATAATTTTGATTTTACAACTTGTTACAAACTGAATCAGTTGAGCTTGTGCTGCAATCAATTACTTGTGTGACAGTCACACAAGAAAACAGGTATAAATTTTGAATTTACAACTTGTTACAAACTGAATCAGTTGAGCTTGTGCTGCAATCAATTACTTGTGTGACAGTCACACAAGCATACAGGTATAACTTTTGATTTTACAACTTGTTACAAACTGAATCAGTTGAGCTTGTGCTGCAATCAATTACTTGTGTGACAGTCACACAAGAAAACAGGTATAAATTTTGAATTTACAACTTGTTACAAACTGAATCAGTTGAGCTTGTGCTGCAATCAATTACTTGTGTGACAGTCACACAAGCATACAGGTATAATTTTGATTTTACAACTTGTTACAAACTGAATCAGTTGAGCTTGTGCTGCAATCAATTACTTGTGTGACAGTCACACAAGCATACAGGTATAATTTTGATTTTACAACTTGTTACAAACTGAATCAGTTGAGCTTGTGCTGCAATCAATTACTTGTGTGACAGTCACATAAGCATACAGGTATAACTTTGATTAATATTCCAATCTGGTAGTCCGACCAGCCTAGTCGATTCAAATCCTAATTTCTTACACTGATAATAGCGTATAGGGTGCGTTTTCAAGACAAAATTACTATTTTTTCATGGAAATTTTATTTAATAACTGTAATTTCTATTTCAGTTTCTTTAATCAGATCATTATAACTACTGGAGGTTCTACTTACTATGCGTTGTCTGCATGACAATAAACAATGCCCGGTTTGTGCATCCTAACAGGCCATTTAACCTTTTTTGGTAATCCAGGTAAATGGCAATAATAAAACATATCCATCTTGGTTCTGAAATAAATATGAAAATGGTTGAAAGGAAAAGTGCATCATTGCGGAACTCAAACATATGACCTAAAGAATAACAGAACAAGACCAGGGCATCCTAATGCTTTAAAAATTTTATATATATATCCAAAATGTAAAGTTTAAAACAATACGGATAAAAATAGCGGGAAAAAAGAGAATGAAGTGATGCCTTTTCCAGTTTACATTGCAATTGTTTATTTACAAAACTGTAATTTATAAATAACTGAAGAGAAATATCAACCGGTTTCACCTGTTAAAGGGATCTTCAAGATATATATATATCATCATTTTCTAGATTATTTTTTAATCAAGTTTTTAAAGATCCTTTGTATTTCTTATTTAATATGAAGATGACTTGTATGGATCATGTATACTTATACTAAACTGTTTGGAACAGTTGAACTTCATACAAATATGGCAGTGTATTAATCATTCACTAGGGGCCTACCATACATATTAAGTTAATTATAGTACAATTAACATGTAATATTGTAAATAAAAAATACTTTGCATGATGATAAAGTTTTTAAGGGAAAAAAACGATAAAGTGGTGACTGACTCTTCCATGTTGTGGTTGGACCAATGCTTGGCATATAAAATATTTCTTTAAATTATCTGAAAATCTTTCAAGTTATATCCAGTTTAGGTCACCGTTGCTTTTATTTACATCTTTCTAAATTTTATCCTGGTGTGGTTCACTTCCTGTGTAGTCATATGACAATGCTTTATAGTACGCAAGGGACCATGTGTTATTTGTACGTATAAACAATTAAAATCTTTTAAAATTTGAAGACTGGGGCTGTAAAATTTGCATTATATTTTAGGTACTTGTAAATGTATTTACCTAATTTGCTAGTTTCAATTTATTCAAAATGTTTTCTTCGTCAGATTAAAAAAGTTTTAATTCGAAAATCAAACCTGCATCATTTAGTACCGTACGCTGAGCAATGGTACAATTTCACACAAACCACACTTGTTTAATTCCGGGGTATCTTAAGCTTACTGCGATGTACGTCATTATGTGATTAGCGAAATTTACACAATGGCTATTTGAAACAATATAATTGGCCTTGAAATAGAAAATCCATATAACATTGAGGTAAGTTGACTTCAATTTAAATTTGTCGAGCCTTGGTCCACCCATTCTAGTTCAGTATTATAATAATTTATACACCGATACAGTCTATGTATACATAAAATTACTTTAAGCACTTTTAGAATCTGTCCACAATAAAATCCATGTGTTATAATCCTAACCCTAACCCTCTAACCCTAACTCATAACAATAACCATTAACCCTAGAAGAAATTATTCCTTAAAAAAAATAAAGTAGTAGACTTTACAGTGGGTGGGGTATTGTCAAAATTTGTAGTTAACGGTCAGGAGATGCTATAAAAGATAAATTTATCAATCAATTATTTTAAAAAACCTTAGAAAGGCTCATTAGAGAACAATTTTATATGCTAATGTATCATTCAGACTATACCAAAGTCTTAAAAACAGGTGCATTCCAATCAAACCATACAACCTATTGTTTATATCAGATTCGTACTCAAGACATTTCGTACTCAATATTGAATGTACAAGATTATGTATAAACTACCATATATCCATTGTCAAACTAACTGAAGGTATATTCACATTTCTCAAAAATCGTTTCAATACACAAAAGGGCTTCAAAATGAACAATTAACAACCCCATTGTAGTAAGAAATGGGCACATGACAAATAAAAATTTGTCACACAGGTCGCCCATTTAACTTTTTAGGAGTTTTTCCATTTAATTTAACTTTTTAGGACGCCCATTTGACTTTTTAATGTAAAAAAGAGGAAAGAAACTGTAATACACAATTAGTGACAGCATAAATTAACTTCACTGAGTGTGAAAGAAGTATTTAAAATTTAAAACTTACCTTCAAGAATCAGCATCAAGGCTAAGGCTAAATTCCCGCCAAAATCTATGGTCACTGAGACGCTTTTGAAAAATACGAAAATGAAAGCATCTCATAGACATGGATCAAAACCAGTCTACGAATGAAAATAAACCAGTCTAATGATGAAAGTAATGGTCTTGTCCAATGCTACACATGGCACTTACGAACTTTCGCTATACGTGTATGCAGTATTTCGATAGAGCGGAAGTCAGTGCGCGAGCATGCGCTTTGCCATATCTCGTTCAGTTACCGCTCACGTTTTAAACTCGGTTGCTATGAAGCGACCGTTTTAAACTCGGTTGCTATGAAGCGACACTAAGTGTACATGGCTTTTACAACTAAAATATCAGACAAACACATTAAAACAATACACATAAACTACACATAGCTGTTTTCCATATTAATATTTTCCATTTGAAACTGATAGTCAAACAAATATCTCAATATTCTTACCGATTTAATGTATTGTTTACATGTCATGACAGCAACGCTGTGTGTTAGATTACTTTCGGTTCAGAAAATTCATTTGTTTACCATCAAAACTCATATGTTTACCATAGGAACCATATATAGATAGAAAGCAAATTAAACAAAGGTAAAGAAAAAATTGTCCGTTTCTGAACAAAAAATCGAATAAATAAATACAAAGTCTTTTTAAAATGTCCTTTCTTTGAGTTCATTTGAAAGGGGAATAATTTGGTGGAATTTTAGACAGGGAAACAGGGAGTTATCTTACATGGCTAGGGAAAATGGCCGACTGAAATCATGCAAGCAAGTTAGTGCATGGACCCCAAAAAATTATTGGACATATTGGTGCTTGTGCTGCAATTCTAAAAATATAACAAATCGTCACAGAAGGTATTTTGGACACAGTTTGGACACTATTTCTTGTGTGACTGCCACATAAGTAAAAAAATGCACCACAAGTATACTTTTTTTGGAAAAAGTGCCACACAAGTACACCTCTGTAAAGTCGTCCGGACAGATGGACAACCCGAAGACTATATGAATAAAAATAAAAATCAAACGGAAAAATAAAGAGAGTATGCACAACTAGGCTTGGTAACAAACAATCTTGTGAAGTTTCACTGAAATCACCTAAAACTTGACCTAATAAAATAGTCAGCAATACCACAGTAATAAACATGTACTACCATAGTCTGTTAGATTCTACTGTCCCAATTTTTTTATTTCTGCTCCACAAAAAAATGTGATTAAATGGTATGTTTAAATATTAAAAATTTAATAGAGCTCTATAACAATTTGATTATATAATTACATGTATTGTGACAATATTTTCTATTACACCCTGTATTAGTTGTTATGCTGTTAATAATAACACATTTAACAAAATGACCTATATAATATTACTTTCAAAAACTGTAAGGTAGGTAATATCAGTATAGATTAAAGCCATGGAACATTTAAATTAACGATAATGCCATAGAAAGAAAACACTACAATTTTTTCTTCTTCTCCCAATATTGTTCTAACTTTACTTGTAAAATAATGTATTTTTGAGGCATGTTATATTATGTACTGTGTATATACCTGTATGTTGTTTAAAAATGTTTAATATATTTGCTATGTATATGCTGATGTCTCATGGAAGATATGGAAACTGAATGTTTTAGCCTCATTAAATAAAGTTGTTACTTACTTACTATCACATTAAATCACTAGAAAGTAATGTAGCATGTTACGTCAAGTTAAGAATATCCTGATTGAGGTAAAAAAAGAAATTGGTATGTTTTACTTCTATGCATGTAACATTATGATTTAGTCTAAGAATAATAGTTAGAACAATCAGTAAAATTATGTTCATATCATTACACAGTACAGTAACAAAGCCATGCACACCAAACAAGAAAAAAAAAATGACTTTTCATTTGATGATGCAGAACAATTAAAGTAAAAAGTAAAATCCATACAAGGTGGGGTCCTATTTTAGAAAAGACAAAAACTCTGTTGAACATGCTTTGGTTACACAAATTACATTATAAGTAAATTCTGACATCGAGGTTTACCAATCTACACATATGCTTCAGCTGAGATTCGAACTCAGAACTCCTCTTGAAGTCTCTCATGTAAGAACAGACTAAGAGATGTTTTTCGAATTAAACTACAAAAGCTAATCAATTGGTAACCAGGATGATACAAATTAAAATGCCCGTAGTATTTGGAATGTTTCTGAAATGAACAATGAATTCTTTACTTTTTTCTTAAAAATCTTACATTCATAGTTATGATAATATCTATGTGGAGATCAAAAATGTTAATATAATTTTATCATACATAAGTATTATCATTGGATTTTAGCCTTGTTTCCAAAGTCCAAAAAAATCCATATCAAATTTACACTGTAGTCTATTTAACCTAGTTTTATTCCAAAAAGTCAATATCAGAAACATATTGTACTTGAACTAAAAATGTTAAAACATTGGTGGTTTAAAATAAGGATGCCATTACATATCATATTAAATACTGCATGTTTGTAACGTCTCTTTTCATTGGATAATCGAGACGTTTATATAGTTTTACATACACAGCTGCTGTCAATTCATGAAGATATTGCGCTTTAATCCTCTCAAAATGATGATTGCTGTATTATAAATTTGTTATAAATATTTTTTGACAGGTTATATGGCCATATATAATCGGTTGTTGGCAATATAACACTCGCCTAGCAGCTTGGGTTATATTTACAAGCTTTTATATAGGGCCATATAACTTGTTACTGAATTAAGTATATACTGATTCTATTATCAATAGGACTTCAAAACCTTTATTGCACTCATCTGTTTAGGTTTTATAGTTTTATATTCATGCAAGACATTTCAGTATTGTACTAGATAACATAAAACAACCTCATAATTTTTCAGATATGAGAACACAAGCTGTTAAATTCCAGTTTCTAAAAATTGACACAATTCTTATTGAATTCCATATTTTTTTCTAGAATAAATCTGACAATCAATATTATGATAATATAGCATGAGCTGCAATCGCTTAGCAAGGGCCACACTTGACTTTTTCTTTTTCCTAAAGTCAAACACGTCAGACAAGGAATTATATTGTAGTATATTGTTTCGGAAAGTTTCTTCTTGTAGTAAATCTAAAACATATAAGCTAAGGGAAGGAAATATTATATCCTATACAAGAGCGAGAGAAATATTTTTGTATCATATTTCTATTTTAGGGTTAGACAGGTCGAAATTTGGTCTCCATTCATTAAGGTCTGGGGGAGCTACAGCTGCAGCTCTTAAAGGTGTGACAGATAGGCTTATTAAGAAGCATGGTCGTTGGAAGTGTTTGTTGTTTTTTTCAAAACAAGGATATAATATTGTTTAATTATAAATAATTTATGTTTGTCTTAAGTTCGAAAGAAAACATAAATTTACTTATTTGATCTTGAGCGGCAACAACAACATGACTGTAGCAATACATCTTTTATTCTCAAAAGTCAAGCTAAGGAATAAAATATTAAAAACATAATAATTTTTGCATTTTAATTGTACCTAGAACTGCTTGCTTACTTTAAAGTAACAAAAGAACCTACACTGTTATTTTTTGCTGTTTATTTGTGATTCACAAGAAGAAAACACAGAGACTGATAAGTTGGTCATGAAAATAATTTGATATATGATAATTTTATGTACCAACATTATATAATCAGTTCAATAAAAACAAACGCTTTTCTTAAGCTTTCGACGTTTAGTCTTCTTCAGAAAAAATTGACGTTTATAACATAACAAATGACGCAACGTCCATTTAACTATACGCTAAACACAACGTGACATTAACACGGGAATAAAACTTTGTCAAATAAATACAGAATCTTTCATGAATATAAATACAGCAATATACAATAAATTACACATATAATATGGATCTGCACATGTGATACAAAAATTCTCATAATTAATAATAATAAAAAACCTTGATATGAGAAAAAACATACTACATGTATATGTATACCGGCTCAATAATGACAAAGTTATATATTGTACAAAACTTTTGCATTCATGCCATAAGGAGATAATGTGTTAAGCTTATGAATCCAGTATGATTCTTGTAATAAGCGTTCCATATCATCGGAGACAATCTCTATGGGCATAAATTTAAAATCCTTAATACAATGATTAGTTTTATTGAAGTGTGTAGCGACATTGGTTGAAAATAACGGATCGGAAAAATTGTTGATATCAAACCTATGGCTATTCATGCGTTTAGACACTTGTTGCTTTGTTTGACCAACATATTGACCTTTACATTTATCACAAGTGACAAGATATATAACATTTTTCGTAGAACAATCAGTATTGTTATTTACATGATAATTCTTACCAGGAATATTAGTACTACTAAATATATTGCTTTCAATAATAGAGCTGCAATGTGTACATCTACTTCTATTACATTTGGATGAACATTTCACATTTTTGTTATTAGACCTAACATTAGAATTAACGAGAATGTCTTTTAGATTTTTAGGTCTTTTAAATGCAACCAAAGGTTTACTTTCATGAAGCTTTTGCACAGAACATTTACTTAAAAGTTGAAGTAAATCCCAATACTTTTTAATGATATTACTAATATTAGGTAAAGTTGAGTTATACTCAACAACAAAGGGAATTACACTGCCATCACTTGTTTTGTTGTTAGTGCACTGGGCCTCATCTTGTGTTAGACATGAAACCTTACTAAGTGCAGTATCAATAACATTGATTAGTAAGTAAGTAAGTAAGTAAGTAAAGTCTTTATTTACTGAGGCTACACATTTGGTTTCCCAATCTTCCAATTGATTATTAGGATAATTTCTTTCTTTGAAGTATGTACGTAAATTCTGTAAAGAATCGTTGAAAACATTATCGTCAGAAATGATACGGCGATAACGTTTTCCTTGACTGTACGGAATACCATTTTTTTTTTTTTTTTATGTACCAACATTCAAATCTTTGTTTAGTGTTTAAAAAGAATGTATCTTTGTTTTGTTACACAATTACCAACAACAAGTGCACATACCAAGTATCAATAGGTCAATGTGACTGTGTACTGAAGTTATTGAAGCTGAAAATTCTATTGTAAGCAAGTGACCTTGACCTTGCACCTAGATCTAAGCTACCCATACACCAAGTTTGGTGTCAATAGGCCTAAGCAAACTCCAATTATTGAGCAGGAACTGAATTACTACAGTGACCTTGACCTTGATCACAGACACCTTATTAGCAATCCCAAGCTGCCTCCTAATAAAAGCTACCAACACACAAAGTTTGGCATCAATAGGTCAAAGCAAACTCAAGTTATTGAGCAGAAACCAAAAGTTGACGCCCGCCTTCCAACTTCAGCATTACAATTACCAGTTTTCGTTAAAACTCTGGTTAAAAACATTATATACTTTTCTATTGTTTTAGTTATTAACAGGAATTATCTAATCAAAATGATAGATTGAGATAACATGGATGGTCAATGAATATTTTATAGGCACATTATAATTTATGCCTCAGAAATAAATTATAGAAAACAGAAAAAATCAGTTTTATATGAGCCGCGTCACGACAAAACCAACATAGTGCGTTTGCGACCAGCATGGATCCAGACCAGCCTGCGCATACGCGCAGTCTGATCAGGATCCATTCTGTTTGCTATCAGTTTCTCTACTTGTTAAAATGTTTAAAAGCGAACAGTATGGATCCTGATCAGGCTGCGCAGATGCGCAGGCTGGTCTGGATCCATGCTGGTCGCAAACCCATTATGTTGGTTTTGTTGTGACATGGCTCATATGTTTAAATCATTGTTTTATATCAGATGCTTGTTACCAGAAGAAAATACCGCTTAAAATTATAATGTGAAATTATTTTCAAAATGTAAACAAAGTAATAGTTTCTTCCATACAAAATACTAAATCACTATAACTGTACCAATTAATGAAATAGCAACAGAAGAAAAAGATGGTTAAGGTAATTGACAATCAGTAACTTTTTTTGAAACAATACAAACACACTAAAAATAAGAAGCTTTTGAGAAATAAAACTAAAAACATTTCTGGGCATAAAGGGCCTTTAAAGCAGAAAAAGGCAGAGAAGTTAAGCAAATGCTTGTGAACAATTAAAAGTCACAACAAATTTGTTTGTGATGTAATTAATCAGTCTGCAACACCTGTTATATATAAATGTTGGAATGACTTCCTAAAATTCAAATTGACACATTTATACTTCACCTACTGTGTTTACAAAAATAATTGATTGGATTTTACTCAATGGGTATTTCAAAATAAATGTTTACTAAATCCTTTATTTAGTTCTGGGAAAAGTCAGAATTATTTAGTACTTGTACAGAATTATGAAATCCCAAAACTCTCTTTTATACAAACCGGTGCTTTTTAATGATGCAAATGGAAAGTTATTAAATAGCTGGTCAAAAAATGTTAAAAATATGTCGTCAGATTTAGGTAATTATACATGTATAGAATAATGATAATATTACAACTGTGCCTGTAAATACCATAATACAAAATATTATTGATCAGCAACTACAACAATGGTGTGCTAACTTATTACTTTTTCAAAATTAGAAAGTTATAATTTATTCAAATTTGAATTTACCCAAGAGAAATATTTAAGTTGTGTTAATAATTTTAAGCATTGTAGTTTAGGTGCTCTTCACCTAAATTAGTTATTGAAGAGGGTAGACATAGAAATATTGAAAGGAACCAAAATGTACAAAATGAAATATGAAATTGAAACTGAGTTTATCTATAATGAAATGTACAAACAAATGTGTAAATATAAACTTAGCAAAATTTGTTTAATAAGCGATGCAACTATGAATTGAATATACATTAAAGGAACTCCACTCAGGTCCAAAATCCTAGGAACATAAAATTTGAATGTTGTTGATGGATCAGCTGGGGCACTTAAAACAGAAAGATATGCAAAATATAATTAAGAAATACCCAAAAATAAATTCAAAATTGTATTTTTTGCTATTTTCAACCTGATAAAAGTAATAAAATGTTGAAACACTTTTCAATTTTTGGTCATTTTCATAAGAAGAAGAATTATTCTGGAAAAACGGAGTGAGCTAATAATCTGAATTTTTTCATACATATTACTGGTGGAGACCTACATCAAATGGAACATTAATCTCAAAAAACAATTTTTAGTATTGTCATGTCAAAAATAATTTTTAGTATTGTTATGTCAAAGATATGTCAGTGGAGTCCCTTTAATACAATTGTTTGAATTATTTTACTCTGAGACATAGGTGTATGTATAATAATTTATAATACATCTTACTTTTCTGTACTTATTGTACCGCTTAAATGTAACTTGGCAATGAACATGTACCGGGTATATGTTTTTGCTAATAAAACATTTGATTTGACTTTGAAAATTTAACAAATGGCATAGATATTTGTATTTCTTACAGCTTTATATTTTTATGACAGAAAATTTCCAAAGTTATTATTGAGAAAATTTAATCAGGAGTAAGAGTACTACATTGCCTGCTGTACTGCATGTAAAATTGGGCAAATAGATATAGTGACAATTATTCTTGTCCAGTTATATTATAATTGGTTTGAACATTTAAACAGAAGTACATATAAATGGCCAGACAACCACAATGACTCGCAGCCTCAAACCAGTATACCAGCTGCATAACTAAGTTGTACAGAGGTATAATAAAGATCTTTAAGACATATCTCATTGTTGTAGATTTTTGGATCCCTACAGTGTCATCAATTAGTCCACTAGAATGTCTCATTCCATTTTCATGTTGAGAAAAACAAATGTCAATTCACTGTCCTCCCAGAAGTTTGTGTCTCTCTGATAATAAAAGAAATATATATTAATATCACTTATTATTATCTATTTAGGAAATAGATATCAAATTTACGTGTATTGTTGTAAAATAATGCAGGCTTTCAATTAAAATGTGCAGGAGTATAATCACAAAGACAGATATGCATGAGCGATTAATTGGAAAGCATTTGAACAATAAACCATGCATTTTTATACTACAATGCGAGAAAAATTAATATCTATTTCCATTCTTATATGCTTATTAAAAGAGAATTGATAAAAATATGTTGAACTACATTGAGCATAAAAGTAATTTCCCTGACGTCATTTGTTCTGATTTCATATCTGACATCATATGATGTGTAAGCATTTTTTATGCTGTGCATATATTGTGTAATAATTTTTGTACACATCTCAAATAAAATATTGTAAATTACTTTGCCTCATTAATTTTAAATGAAAAATTAATATTTGTCAATTATTTTTTATTGGCAGATTTTTCATTTTAATTTTGCATGTAGATTAATATGCATATAAAATGTTCCTGTGACAATAAATTGCAGGAAGATTATGAAAGCACCCTGAAATAATTTAATTTGACAAACTTATATGATTTCATGTTTTTCTAAGTTCTAGTAATTTTATTCTACATGTATTAACTTTAAATATTTATAGATACAAACATGGATAATGCAAAAGAAATGCAGTGTTATATTTTTGCTTAAGAAACGTTTTCAGTATTAATCCTCAACATACTAGATATCTGTACTGAACTTGTCCATTTGTTAATATATATATTACCATTCATTATTGTACTGACTATAATATTACAGTGCAGACCATCTTGGTTACAATGGTGCAAGCCAGCTTAAATTTAGTTAATACATTAGTCATTTTTTATATTCATATGCTGATTAAATGCTGGATAAAAACAAATTATTTGTACCATCTTATTGCAACACAAATCACATACATTACTGACATTCACAAATAAATTGTAATGGTAATAATAAATTATTTCAATAATCGCGAGCATTTGATTTACCTGATAGAACTATCATGTTCATTTTGTAAATTGACTTATATGAACCTGGAAAAATGAAGAAATTGGTACTATATATTTTCATGGTAGTGAAACTTGTTTACTAAACCATCTGTGGGTTTTGCTGTTTGAAAGAAGTTAAAATCATGCAACACTTTTACCAGGAATTTTCTCAGTTGATAAATTGCCATAAATCAGTCATAATCCGTACTTTGAACAGTAATCTCTAATTACTAAGAGATCTTAAATATATATCTATTGAGTTTCAAGTGAATACCTTTAATATTTTTGAAAACTGTTGTCTATGTAAAACATATAAAATAAATACATACAGTCAGAGTGCCTTTCTCCAGCTATTTTGGGGAAAAAATTCCCCTGACATAAATTGAGGAAAATTATGCATCAGTTTTATTCTAAGAGTATTTAACATATATATTTACCAATTGATCTGTATAGGGAAGTCTTTTTTTATAAAAGTATTATATCTTAAACTTCACAACAGTAGAATAGTCCAGACATCAACACTCTGTTTCCTATAAAATATAAAACAAGAGCGATCAATAATCACATGTGTCGCCTCATAATGGCCAATTTCATGTTGGGACAAAGTTTGTGACAGACGGACAGACAGACGGACAGTGCACAACTAGACTTGGTACTGATCATTCCTGTAAAGTTTGGATAAAATTGCACCAGTAGTTTATGAGGAGTAGTCCGGACAAGAATTTGCGTATCTGGCAACACACAGAAAAAACACCTTTTTATCAAAGGGCCATAACTCGGCCGAAAATCATTCAACCAAAAAAACCCGTGCAATATGCGCAAGGACTTGAGCTACAGATCAATCCTGTAAAGTTTCACTGAAATTGCTTTAGTGGTATAAGAGAAGTAGTCCGGACAAACTTTAAAAATAAAAATTATTAAAGGGCCATAACTCTGACAAAAATCATTGAACCGGAAAATGCTGATAATATGCACAACTACCCTTAGTACTGATTATTCCTGTAAAGTTTAGATGAAATTGCACCAGTAGTTTATGAGGAGTAGTCCGGACAAGCTTTTGTGTATCTGGCAACATACAGAAAAATAAACCTTTTTTATCAAAGGGCCATAACTCGGCCAAAAATCATTCAACCGGAAAACCCTTGCAATATGCGCAAGGACTTGAGCTACAGATCAATCCTGTAAAGTTTCATTGAAATTGCTTTAGTGGTATAAGAGAAGTAGTCCGGACAAACTTTAAAATTAAAAATTATTAAAGGGCCATAACTCTGACAAAAATCATTGAACCGGAAAATGCTGACAATATGCACAACTAGACTTGGTACTGATCATTCCTGTAAAGTTTGGATGAAATTGCACCAGTAGTTTATGAGGAGTAGTCCAGACAAGTTTTGTGACGGACAGACGGACAGACAGACGACGGAGAAGTGATCCCTATATGTCGCCACTACTCCACGGAGGCGACACAAAAACTTAACACAGAAATAAATACAGAATATATTTGCATCATACAATCTTTGTGAAAGTCCTTAAATCTATAATGTACAGAAGATCTTTTTCAGGAACCAAATATCACAGTGTATATTTATTTATCAATTAATTATTTCATTCATTCATTCAATTTTATTTATTCAGAATGAAAGTATAAAAGTATTTATATACTTTTGCTGAATGATAATATATCATATATACGAGAAAATAAAAAGAATAATACAACTCAAAACAAAATTGTTATTACCGGTAGTTTGAAATAAATATAACGCATAACTGATTTTGAATGTGACTGTAAAACTGTTGACAAAATTTCACCATAAGATCATTGATGAAATTGTTAAATAAGTAGAGTAGTAAAATAATTATACAGTTGTAAACCAAGAACACAATAGTTAATGTATTACATTTCCCATTTTAAAATCCTTTAGTTAATTAGAATTGACTGCACTGTCCACTAACTACTGTCAAACATTGTTGATATGTCCGCAGTTATTCGCCTGTTTTATTTTTCAAAGTCTCGGCAATTGATGTCACAAACATCCTTGAAAATTTCTTCTTTCTGCCTTTGCCTGACTTGTCTACAATTTCTCCATTACCCTTTCTTAATCGATTATGCCAACTGAAAACTATGATGTGGCTTCCAGGACATTTTCTCTTGATATTCTACGTTTTTAGACAGTTTCTAATCTTACTTTTGACAAAATTTCGATTTATTTTTGAGACATTCCGACGACATCAGTTTTAATGCAAGTTTTTCTTTAACAAGTGACGTTTGAATTGTGATTGCAAAGGCAAAGGTGGTATAAATGAAGTCATTTATTCTGACAACGTCTATTAGATAGCTCATGATGTTTTGGCGTATTTCTGTAAAATATACCAATCATAAAGCGCCTGTCATCAGTGCAAATTTATGCATTTTGCCGGGTGTGCGTTACCATGATTTTGAAATTCGCAGTTACGAACAAGCTATTTGAGTTATCAGATAAGATATAGTATCAGTTTATAGGTAATGTTTTCTGATTAAGTGTGATATATAAAAGTAATAGTTTGTGACAGCACAAGTCCAGTTTATTTATGATCATCCCTCGTATATCAGATGATATGGTCTATATGAATAAGATTTAATCACCAATTTATTAGGATATTACTTATTCAACAGACCAGAAACATTAGAGCAATTCTTGAAAAGGACTACCGGTAATGATCATGGTGAGATGTGAACCCATGCTTTATTTTTCAAGCATTCAAAATGAAAGTAGAAAAAATAGTAGTGACGTAGCATCACATGTCTGTCAAACCACACACCACTTACTGCAGAAGTCATTGTGTTTATACTGTATGAATTGTTTAATTCACTGATATTGAGTGATCTATTTATTATACTTTGGAACAAAATTTGTGGTAAAGTAAATTGACTAATAACAGTTTTGTCTGTTGCATTCTTACCTAATTTCCATTTAACGATTCCCGGATGCTGGCAGGCAATACATTTTAAATCCTTCCATCAAGAAAAGAGGTCCTGAAGAATACACAGAAAACAACTTTTGATTTTATCATATAACACAAAACTACACAGATGTAATAAATACACTTTGAACAAGACCAAACAAACCATTGAGATGACTTGAATTGGGGTTCTTCAAATCTATTTTCTATCCCACACCAAGTTGGGTCTATTTCCGTACAGGGGTGACAACAACAATAGCCATGTACGGAACATTAATCTTTCTATGTTGCTTTATCATTCACAATAACAATATCAACACATCAAGAACTTAAAAAGCAAATTATTTGTATAAGACATAAAAACATCAGTGATTGTTACTATCGTCATGATGCTGAAATTTTAAGCACAGTGCTGTAACAGACAAAGAAACACATTAAAAAATGTGCACGCAGATCATTCCATCGTTCAAATTTCTTGTAGCTAAAATAATTCAAGGTCACATGATCACAAGAGAACAGACATGTTTACATCGGTAAATTAATGAAGAGAGATTTTACACACCTTTTTTAAATAATGAACAACAAATTATAAAATATAATTGACACAAAACACTTGCTTATTTAGAAGACAGAGCTTCTGTTGAATAGGTCAAGATCATGTTTTCTTGCACTTGTTATCATTTAAGTGGCACAAATGCCGGGTATAATTTACTGAAAGTGGAATTTACAGACTCATATTTTTTTAATTTTACCTGGCAACTGAATTCCACGAATTAACAATCTTACCGTTCACAAACCACCAAATTCATGCCCTCAAATTTAAATGATTTTGCAGTACCTTCAATACTCTGTGCTCTGGTAAACCAAAAACACAAACCTTTTCTTTAGACCTGCTATTACAGGTTTCCCTCACTAACTTATAATTATAGAAACTTATATATCTTTGCCACATTCTTTTGCAATAAAGTACATAATATGTTGAAATCATATCACAGCCTAATTAATTTTAACTTGAACAAGTGCTGTCAGCAGAGAGGTGTTGCTGACAAACATTATATATTTGATGTTACAAAAACTTCCTTCAAGAAATAAACAATTAAGAGTAATTCTGAGAGTATTGGTTAAAAAAAATGGCCATAATTCTGGCAAAATATCTAAGTTAGACTTATGGGCCAAAAAATGGCCATAATTCTGGCAAAATATCTAAGTTAGAGTTATGGGCCTTGGATAATTATGCTCTTAAGTTACTGTGTGAAGTTTTAATTATTCCCTTTAGTAGTTTTGGAGATACCAACTTGCATGCAAAAACTTACCAAAGTGTGACACCAATGCCTGGGTGTGTACAATAGCTCACAGTTGTAGACCATAATTGTAAACTTAAGTATTGCAAAGTCATTATCAATGAGGCATTCATTTTGTGGATTTCATGGACAGGCTAATCCACATAATTGAACTTGACCAGTTACATACTTTTATGTAATGAGAAAAGTGTATTGCTTATCAAAATGCCCGAAAATAAACAAAAGTAAATGTCACATAAACTTTTCTAAACACTTACATGGATATTTCATAAAGACACCATCTATCTGCTTTGTATTTCAATGTGCTATTGTCCTTGAATACAAGGCCATATGCCGTCCCACAAACACACTTGTCTAAACCTGTGTTGCTGGCATCAAGACACCAGCAACATGCTAGACTCACGTTTGTACAGATATGTACATCTTGTTGCTGAAATGGAACAAATATAAACCTTTTCTCTACACATGCTGATCAACATTCCTGTAAGGTTTCCTGACTGTAGGTCAATTACTTTTTAAGCTACGTGCGACACAAAAAGAGACGAATTGACGGACAAGGGTAAATCTAAATGCCCCTGCCCCTAAAGTGGGGGCACAATAACCAAAAACATTGCAGGAAACTGCAAGTACTGTCTCAACATGGATGCTGCTATCTTTTTTTCTTGGCTATATCCCGTACTGAATGGTACTATTTCTTGAAATCAGTTGCTATCAAAATATTGTCATTTTCTTGGTTATTTTTAGTAAAGTAATATATTTTGTATTTCTTATTATGAAAATGACTCGTATGGAGCTAAAGTGTGTCACACTATTATACCTATAGTATACTGTATTAAATTTCATACAACAATAGAAGTATACAAGAGGTCCATGATGGCCCTGAAATCGCTCACCTGTATATAGGCCCCTGGGCAATGACAATTTTAAACCAGGGACTTTTATTTGAACAAACTTGGTAGACAGCCATAAGAAGATGTTTCATGATTAATATCTAAGCTCTAACTCTTTTGAGTTTTAAAAGAAGATTTTTTAAAGTTTTTACTATATATATATAGGAAAAAACAATGACCCCCCCCCCCTTAGGGGCCAATTTTGACCCCAGGGCTTTTATTTAAACAAACTTGGTAGACACTAACTAGAAAATATTTCATGCTTAGTATGTAAACTCTAGTTCTTTTGGTTTTTTAAAAGAAGCTTTTTTAAGTTTTTACTACATACATGTACAAATAAGGAAAATCAATGACCCCCAGGGCCTGGCCAATTTTAACCCCAGGGCTTTTATTTGAAAAAACTTGGTAGACACTGCCTAGTTGATGTTTCATGCCAAATATTTAAGCTCTAGCTCTTTGGGTTTTTTTCAAAGAAGACTTTTAAGTTTTTACTATATAAAGGGAAAAACAATGACCCCCGGGGCTGGGCCAATTTTGACCCCAGGGCTTTTATTTGAACAAACTTGGTAAACACGCACTAGAAGATGTTTCATGCTTAATATTTAAGCTCTAGCTATTTGGGGTTTTTAAAAAAAAGATTTTTTTAAAAGTTTTTACTATATACAAATAAGGAAAATCAATGACCCCCCGGAGCGGGGCCAATTTTGACCCCAGGGCATTTATTTGAAGAAACTTGGCAGACACTGACTAGGCGATGTTTCATGCCAAATATTTTAGCTCTTGCGGTTTTCTAAAAGAAGATATTTTAAGTTTTTTCTTTTGGTTGCCATGGCAACCAGAGTTCTGCTTGGAATTAAATTCTTTGAACAATTTTGAAAGTTGACTACCAAATGAACATTCCTGTGAAGTTTGGATGAAATTGGCTAAGTGTTTTATGAGGAGATGTCGTTGAAAGTAAAAGTTTACGGCCGGATGCCGGCCGGACGCCGGACGAAAAGCGATCACAAAAGCTCACCATGTCACTTTGTGACAGGTGAGCTAAAAAATCATTCACTACCATACATATTAAGATGTTATACTGCAAAGAAATTTTGCATGATGATAAAGTTTTTATGTGGAAAAAAGATATAGTTGTGACTCTCTACAATGGAGTTTAGTATATAGTATAAATAACGTCATAATTTTCCCCAAATTGACTTTCATATATTTTTTCCCCTCCCTACCAGCACCCAGCATCTCCCCCATTAACTAGGCCACCATTGTTCATTGTTAAACTTCATGTTGCTAACTAGTGTACAAAATTTACACATGAAACAGAAACAGACATAGATACATTGTAAATATAATAAATGTAATAAATAAGTTACCTGTATTTGTAAAGTGACTAGTTCCCCTTCAAGATTAACTCTGTTAGGTGTTGAGCACGGAGAGCATTTCTCTTTTATATAAACCGGATCTCTTCTTCCCTAGTTTGCACTCTATGTTACCATTCCAGATCATTTCATCTACAAAAGACGATATTAAACTGATAAATCTACGAGAAAGAGCCTCAATTCTGAAAAATGTATGTGCCATTACTTAATAAGAAAAGGAAAGTTAATTGCTGCATTTTGACATTTTTCTGCACTAATTATTTGTTACTTTACCAAGTATTCAAAATATACAATTTGATTTTATAAGTTTTATTGAAAAAAAAAGACATTTCAGAATGAGATTCATAATTGTCTGATGTCATTTTATAATTTTAACATGTAGTATGTAATTCAAAATGTAAATTGATCTCTTCATTTAATGATTAAACAAAAATCAAAGTATGTACATTTGTATTTTAAGGTATTAGGACCCTAATGGGCACTATCAGGAACTAAACAAGAGCTGTCCGTAAGACAGCGCGCTCGACTTTTTTATTGCTTGCCAATAAAAAAAGTTTTTGCAGTAAAAGGCAATACAAGAATCTCTGTATTTTTAAAGTGAACAATGGCCATGAGCATTAAGATATTTAGTGAAGAATTATTTTATTATGACATAATTTATGGTAAAGTGAACAAGTGGATAGGAATGAATTTTTTTAGATTTTTTAAGTTTTTTAGTGCTTGCCTATAATACAAAACATTGACAGTTAAGGGCCATAATTCAAATAAAATCTTTGACAGAATTACCTTCTCCTGGACATGTTTGGGAATCATGATTGTAAACAAGTATTCCAACTTTCAAATTAATATCTCAAACAGTTCAGTCAAAAAGTGGACTGGTACTAAAAACTTAACCAAGATTCTAAGTCGATAAAAGGCCTTAATTTTTAAAACAAATCCTTGACAGAGTTACCTTCTCTTGCGTACAGATGGGGGTAATGATGTGAAATAGCATTAAAAGTTTCAAAGCAATATCTCAAAGGGTTAAGGCAATAAGTGGATTTTACCCATATTCAATGTATTTTCTAAGTCAAAAAGGGGCATAATTCTGTCAAAAACCTTGACAGAGTTATGTCCTCTTGTCTGTTGATGAAGGTCGTGATGGTAAACAAGTATGGTCAGTTTCAAAGCAATACCTCCAATGGTTTTGAAATAAAGTGAGGTGGTACAAAAAACTTAACCAAGCTCAATACACTTTCTAAGTCAAAAAAGGGCCATAATTCTGTCAAAAACCTTGACAGAGTTATGTACTCTTGTCTGTAGATGGAGGTTATGATGGTGAACAAGTATGGTAAGTTTCAAAGCCATACTTGTAATACTTCTGAAATAAAGTGGGGTGGTACGAAAAACTTAACCAAGGTGTGACGCCAACGCCAACGCCGACGCCGACGCCGACGCCGACGCCGGGGCGAGTAGGATAGCTCCCCTTTTCATAGAAAAGTCGAGCTAAAAATGTATACCTTAAAGTACACCTGTATGCAAAATTTAAACAAAGTTTACCGTACGGAAATCAAGTTATGGCCACTTTTCTGAACTCAAGCTAGGATGTTATAAGGGCCCTTTTTTAGAAAATAGGAACCTTTAAATAATCTGCAATAACATTCTAATGAAAAATGTTCTCCCATTAATTTTTGGTAAGAAACAAATAGTACCATTCAGCTAACAATCTAAATAAGCAAAATTATTGTTTCTACTTAAAATTTATGAAATCTGTATAAAAATGTTACCCTACCCCACCCATTTTTACCACGTGTCTGACCATTTTTCTACTTAGGGAGCCCAATTTAAAAAATTCTTAAAAATTACCTAAATGAGTGCCTGTTTTCAAAGTTTCCCTAAATTTTTAAAAAAGTATATTGGTTGATCTTGTAAAATATGAAATACTTTTACCGTCTAGTTTTGATTATATTACACTTTGAAAATATCAGGTACTATACATATGTATTTATTACTATATTTAGCATAATTTAGCCAATAAATACCTATATAAATAAAAAAATCAAAATTAAACACTTTTTTCTTTCCAAATGGGACATGAGAGATACATAAATAATGTTAAAAGAAAAAAAGAAAGAAAAAAAAGTTGACCCTTCTGGGGATTGAACCCATGGCCCTCATTTTCAATGTAGTTAACAGTAGTTCTAGCCTATTTGAATACTCTTCAAAGCTGAGGTAATGCATTAGGGTGCTAATACCTTAAGATGAATATACAAAAAGCTTTACCTTGAATGTCAACTTTTTCCTAGAAAATGCACACCTCATTTCTTTCAATCAATTTTCTTTCTCTCAATACCTCTGTGATAAAATAAATACAGTAATAGTTAATTAAAGAAATGAAAAAGTTATGAAATATACACTATGCAGTAATGCATTTTATTATCTAAATCAGTATTTGATTATATCACATGTTCAATAATAAATTTACCTATTGCAATATGAGCAACACATTTATCAAGGGTTATTTGTGCAATTAGCAACATTTATCACCTCTGTTTGGTTGCTATAGAAACTTAATTTTAGTGGCCATTATTTACCTCAAGAAGTTTAATGAAGAGAATTATGTGCTTCTTATTTATTTAAACATTTTGTTTATAAATGTTCATATACATAATACTTTACAAATAAAACTGACTGTACATGAACAAACTAAATTTGAATCTGTAGATACTTTTTTCTAAAACACGCTCTCTCCATTGAGATAGGCTACAAATGTTATCACAGTCATCCAGAAACAATCATACATAGCTCTCATTCCTATGTGTTATGGCTTTTTCATATCTATTTCTTAATTTTATCATCTGTTCCTATGCCGGATTAATCATAGTGTTTAATTTTGAAATGTCCATTTTCTGTTGTTCACGTTTTTCATGCATTTCTTCCTCAATTCTTTGCTGCCTGAAACCATCTCTCATTACTGTTCATATGTTTTAATCTCTGTTTTTGTAGATGTCTGAAATATAGTTATCATCAGAACAAAATGAAATGAGCAGTTTATGTTATAAAAAGAGACATTCTACATTCAAATGACAAAATACTAATGCAATCATAGCAGATGAAATTTGTAATAACATTAAAATGTAAATACTAAAATCGAAATAAACGTGCGTTGACGCTATTATATCATAAAATTTCAAAAAAGATTCATGATGTATATTTAAAACAAAACACATACATTAAATCATTTAGCTTGGAAGGTATTTATCCAATTCTACATGCTTTACGTATGTGTTTTATTTTTCCGGTGCCAACTACATGGGAAATGCTGAGACAGAACCGTTCAAAATTCGAATTTTAATTGATTTAAAAAAGCTTATCATTTGAGATTTATTAACTCAAGAAAAAAACAACATAAAATTACTCTGCCAAGACCCTCAGAAATTCTTAGAATGATTTCAGTTTGACGGTAGAAAAAAGATCAGTGACATCGGAATTTTTTTTCAAGCTCACAAGTTTATAAAAGAATATCATGCACTTAACATTATTCTCTCAAAGAAATATAAAAAGCATTTATCAATATAAACATTAATAAAACAACATTTTCTCATATTCATTTTGTGTTTTCTAAGTTAATTAAGGGTTAAACTGAATCACATTATTTGTTTACATTATCATAACATTGACAACTGTCCATTTCTTAGAAAGGGCGACAACCAAGATTAGCGGCGATGTCTATTTGCCGTATTTCCGACATAGTTACTTGAATGTTACTCGCCGTTATGCGATTGAGGCCCTCACATCAATAATTTCAATATAACACTTTGGCAAACAGGCCAAATCGTCATTTTTGTGTTTGTTTACTTGACCCTGTATGTATTGCCCGTAGGTAAAACTGGGCTATAACAAGAGCCATTACAATGTTAACACATGGTTTTGGTCCCATTATAACATGGGCAAAAGAGGGAAAAATAGCCGATTTTTATGCTATAATAGATAATATGACAACAAAATCAATGTGCTATGACATCACAATAGGTATAGTATCATAATGATCATGTTATGACATCACAATAGATGATATGACATCATAGTTCATACATGATGACATCATAATTGATGATATGACATCATAATCTGTACACCATGACATCATAATTGATGATATGACATCATAATTCATACACCATGACATAATAACAGATGATATGACATCATAATTCATACAACATGACATCATAATCTGTACACCATGACATCATAATTGATGATATGACATCATAATTCATACAACATGACATCATAACAAATTATATGACATTATATAAATAACACATGGGATTGTGGGTAACAGTAAAAACATCATCCCAAGGAAAATACAGTTACCATGTGTTATTTATCTATTACACTGAACAAAAAATACTGTGATGATCTGAAATTGTCAACTTAATCTAACTTTAACAAAATAAACCAAGAGTAACAATAACTAAACTGTTTTAAGTGTACTTTAGGCATATTTGAGAAGTTTTCTTTTTCGTTTATTATTCTTTAAGCAAGTGATGATTTTTACTGGTCATAAACATACAATCAGCTGTGTTTTATTTAGAAAACAAAACACTAACCCATTAATACAGTTATGATCCTTCTGTATCCAGAATATTCTTTGCATGGTTTTTGACAAAATAACGATGATATCCTATGTCTGTCCACCATATCTGTAACGTTTCACTAATTAAAATTGTTAAATGTTCCTTTGTTGCATGCTTAAATTGTCTGACACATAATTATTCACATTGCAATTACTTCTGTTGAAAACGGATGTTTACTTTTTGACTATTCAATAAAAAAATATTTTATACGCAAAAAGCACTCCAGGGTGCAAAACAACTAAATTTTAAGGGTGTCATAGTTACTCTGTTGATGTCCTATTGTGGTGAATGTCAAAAATAAGAATGAATTGAGAAAAAAATGACGGCCATTTTATTTCATTTTATTTAGAATATAGACCACGTGACCAGATTTTATACTGTTAAAAAGCACTGTTACCTATGTAACAATACAAAATTCATAGTCACGTGGTACACTTGCATTAACAGTTAGAATAACTCCCAGAGGCCTACTGTAATTTATATACTATGACATCGTAATTCATACATAATGACATAATAATAGATGATATAACATTATAATTAAAATGCTATAATAACAATGATTTGACATCACAAAATATGTTATTACAACATTATTAAAGTGTTGACAATGGAAAGAAGCATTATAATTAAAATGCCAATATCACAATTGATATAACAACTTAAGATATAGCAAAAATGCATCAACATCCCAGTATCTCTGAATGACAGCAAAGCAAGAGGTGTAACATAATTATTGTTCATTCTTGCATCATACGTACCTGTCTTTTTGAGTGACTGCTGTGTCATTCTGCAAGATGTTGATCTTCTCTCTCATTTCTGCCCCTTTCTGTGTACATGTCTGAATCAAGTTCACACACTTGTTATGCTCATTCTTTATAACATCATACCACTTGGCAAAATCTGCAATTTTAAGTCACCCATTAAAATACCTTTTCTGTAATTTGTACAGATTACATATGTAAGTTTTATTAATTAAGAATTTTTATGGCACACGTATTGCTAAAAACTTATGCTTAATTATGACTTGGAAAATAACTAAATAGAAAACACTTTGACTTCAATCCAATTCTTTCTATCAAAAAATGTAATAAATAAATATCATTCTAACATGCTTCACACTATTCCCCTATCAGACAGATAAGGCAATCAAGTGCAGTTTTACGCATCAAATTCAAATATGACATCAGATATGAAGTTTATAAGCCAAATGACGTCAGAAAAATTAATTCTACACTCAATGTAGTTCAACATATTTTTATCAATTTTCTTTTTTAAACTGATGTTAGAAAGGAAATAAATTTTAATTTTTCTTACAAAATAGTAAAATAATGAACAGTTTATTATTACAATGCTTGATAATTAATTACTCAGGCACATTGTGATAATATTCCTGCAAATTTGAAGTCAGTGCATTATTCTATAACAATGCAATCAAAATTGATACCTGTTTCCTAAATAGACCCTTTGTTCAAAGTGAAGTAGATTATAAGTATGTACAGTTATGTCTAACATAGAAATCTATAGCAATAATATCGACATTCTATAGAAACTTACATGACTTGCATCTCCTTATGTTTTTTTCTCATGATCTTGTATTTGTAACTGTTTAGTTTTTAGATCCTCAACAGCTTTGTGAAATCTCATCTCAGCACGCATGAAATCTCAAGCTTTCTGTTCCCTTTCATCAGCCTAATAAATCATTTTGTAAGCAACTTTAAATATCACCATTTTATATTCAAATACATGTGCTTGACATGTTTATATAAACAAGTTGTCACCTTATTGAGTAACGAGTTAAATCCATCTAAATTTAATAGGAGTTAACCAGTTATTGCACTAAGGTGACAAAGTATGTGAAAGAATGAAACAAAGAATAAAACAGAGTATTCAAAACAATAATGATCAAGGATGTATATAGTGAATGAACTGTAAAAGTGCATATATCTGTGTCTTGAAAAGTTAGCGAATCTAAAATTCCAGATATTTTGCATGAGGCAATATTAGCAAATCATGCAAGGGCAGAATTTAATTACTGGCTGGGTGATATCTGTTCTAGAGGAAATTTTCGTGGTTTTTGTCAATTTGCGAAATTTGCCAATATTTCCGCTTCGCTACCTTAACCACTTATACAGGAATGTCATAAACATTGCTTTTTGAAAAGTACATGTGTACAGCAACAGCAAAACAAAAATAAAGAATCAAACTAACATCATCAACAAATTTTTTTAATGAAAAGAAATTTCCTATACATGTAATTAGTTTAGAAAACAGGATACAATAAAATACCTTAATAGCAGCCAGTCTCGTGAGTTCAACCACTTCAATTCTAAGATCACTTTGTTCATACAATAAATTCTGCTCCTCTGCTGCACTAGCCTCTAGTTTAACATGCTCAACAGCTGTTACAGAATTCTGATATATATACACATAGAATGTTATCATTCTAAACTGATGAAAGCTGGTTAATGTTGTTTTTTAAATCTATAAACTCAGTCTTAAACAGGTAATGTTAGTGAGTCTGGGTAGATTTTCAGCAGTTAGCTCACTGAAAACAAACAAAGAGTAACTGTACAATAATCTTTCTTTTTAATTTATTAAAAAAAAGTCAAGTTATATTTTATATTGATCTAAAAATTTCAACAAATATTTTATTAAAAAAAAATCACATAAAGTAAATGAAATAAAAAAAATGTTTTATACAGCTAAAACTTATAAGTTATTAGAAGGATTTTAGTTTATTCACCTTTAGTTAAAATTGGCTAATAATGTTCTTTGACTAATGAAATTTAACATTTACAAATGATCAGCAAGTTACAACATTTATACTTACATTTAGGCAATATACCTATGGTAATTGAAACAGTTGGGAATTAAGTTACAATGTTCTTTAAGCAAAAAAATCCTTAGTCAAGACCTTACTTAAATTTTACTTTATTGTGTAATGAAAGAAGAATTTGTACACATAATTATTCAGAAGTGTAAAAAGTTTCAGATTTTCTTACATCTTTTTTCTTCCCAGTTTATCAGCTTCTTTTGCATTCTGGTTTGGTGTTAACTTGTACACACTTCAGTGTTGTTATATTTTCTGGTCCTTCGGGATCATTGATGCCAACACTATAAAGTGTTGAGAATTGAGTACCGCTCAAGCCGGTGCTAGGGGGCGTGAGGGATGTTGCACTTATTCATTATCCCTCATGTACAGACTCAATCAAACCGAGTCTGCAATTCTTATGTTATTTTGTTGTTATTAATGCTTCCGAGGGATCACTTTGTTTCCAGAATTTTGTACCAAATCACCCTGTCAATATATAAATCTGATTTTAAAAATTACATTTTATTATAGCCATTTCTTTTCTTCTTTTTTTGTATAAGAATTATAAGATTATATAGTCTGTTAATCAAAGAATAATAGATAAAATGAAATGTCTGTTCAGGAATCACAAGGGTTTTTTTTAGGGATGGCAACGAGTAACCGGTTAACCGAGTACTCGATCGAACGTCCGAATATCGGTTAACAAAATTGATATTCGATTACTCGGAAAAAATGTATAATTTCTATTTTATTTGCTATTTAGACAGTTTGGTGTATCCAATTAGTTCAAAAATTCGGAGATGTGCATATACCTTCATAAATACCTGTTAAATGCAATCACAACTTCCTTGCAGAGGTGCGAAAATGATACCATAAATTTAATGAGGCGATCAACAGTTTGACACGCGCACATGTGTCGCTTACGTCATCCGGCCTCTTATGATATTTAGTAACCTTTAATTGTGTAACACAATGCAGTTTGTACCCGAATCTTGTTTTAAGGTAACATTTTTGAAAACAACAAAGGGCCGTATTGCTATTATGATATAATAATTAAGGTAGTATTTAGTCCCGGTTAAACTTTTGTTGCCGCCGATCAGTTTTATTACAAGAAGAAAAAGATGTTTCAACTGCTAAACATGTTTTAAACTTGATATTGCATTAATTAAAATGTTCTAAAGTATAATGTCGTTGATTTAATTTTAATTAATTTGTCTCCTTTGCAGTCCTATCTATAGTTACGAATTCTATGAATGTAAATAGAAAACGAAAGTAGCATACGGACGGTGTTGATATTGTGTGATAAACTTTGAAGATCATTGGAAATCGTCCGAGTAACCGAGTACTCGATCGGAAAAATGACCGAGTACTCGAGTATTAATTTTGGTATTCGTTGCCATCCCTAGTTTTTTTCCCCTGAAGAATTAAATAAATTTTGACAAAATACTGAATATATGACAATCTAAATTTTTTTACAGAATGCACTCACTAAGTATCAAAATAACTCCAAAAAAAAGTTTGTTTTTATTTTCTTAAACAAAAAAGTAATACTTACAATAAAAATTTGAAAATATCAACTTTAACTTGTTGTTAATATTTTCAAAATGTTTTAAATTTCATAGAATTTTAAAACCAACTTTTGGCCTAATCTTTATCGTTTCCTCTTTGAAATGTATGTATAAAAAAAAAGCCTCCTTACTTAAGAAAGTCAAATACTTCTGTTACAGATTAAAAGATATACATCTACAATTTACACGGTTAGTTGATTGTACAAGAATGGTAAGGCTAACCTGAAGATTTTCCTATTTTTCAGTGAGCTTTTCATATTCTTTACTATCCATGCTTGTCTATTAGATGTATCTAAATCTTCTTTCAATGTTTTAACCTCTAGCTGTCTCTGAATTATTTCTTTCTTTATATCATCACATGCTTGTTGTTACTCTTTAATACCTTATCAATTTCCTGAAATACCACAAACATTACTTATATTACTAAAAAATTACCAAAGTACAAACTGCTAAATTTATACAACGGACCTGTCTTCTTTAAATTTCAATTTGGAATACTATTTAATAGTATATAATTACTTAGATGGAATTTTTTACAAAAACAACAACCCTTCAATTGTTTTGAAGATACAAACTTGCACATAAAAATTTAACCTAAGTGTGACAGCCACGACAAGATAGATGCAGGCACCTGGGTGAGCACAATTGCTCAAGTTAAGTTATTCAATAGACAAGCTAAAAAAAATATTACTATTTCAAATATATTATCAAATAATTTTGCTTTAAGACACATTTGCACAGGCAGAGTTCCTGTAAACTATACAAATGTGTTGTAAAATTGTATTACTTCATATTGTCACATATCAAATGAGTATTTACTTGGAGCCAATTTTTAAATTTCTTTCCAGCTTTTGGCATTCTAGAGTACTCTCATTCCATTAATTTCTTCTCCTCTGTAGAGTTATAATATATCAAAATTATTACAATTTTAAAGGAGTCAAAATAACAAAACAACAATAAAGAATTACAAATACATGTGAGAGTAAATTAGAAATGATTATGGATGCTAACAAATAAATGTTTAAAAAAAGACAATAACACAAAGTAAACAAGAGCATCGTTAGGCGGAGCATTATATGCCCGGAAGTGATTTTCTTTTTCAGTAAAGATGAAGCATTTGTAAGACATTGGAATTAAATAAAGTATTACCTCCTTCAAATAACAATCCTCCAAGGAAGTTTGAATATTGTGGGCCAAATGGAACTTAAGTTATGCTCTGGAAACTGTTTTTTCAGTTTAAAGGTAATAGTAACCTTGACCTTTGATCTTGTGATCCCAAAATCAATAGGGGTCTTCTACCCGATATGGACAATCATCCCATGAAGTTTTAACACTGTGGGCCAAATGGAACGGAAACTGTTTTCAGATTTAAGGTAATAATGTAAAGTAACCTTGACCTTTGACCTTGTGACCCAAAAATCAATATGGGTCTTCAACTCAATATGGATAATCATCTTATGTAGTTTGAATATTTTGGGCCAAATGGAACTTAAGTTATGCTCCGGAAACCAAATTGCTACGGACAGATGGACATTCTAACAGTAGAGTAATAATGTGGCTTAGACTCTCTTGTTCTCTCTATTGTTCTTTTTAGCCAAACAAAAGAAAACAGCCACATAAAAGCATTACAGAATAAATGACATCAAAGAGAAAGAACAGTTACCTATTGTCTATTTGATATTCTAGCTCGTACTGCCTTTCTTGTGCTTGTTTCAAGTCATTGTTATACTTTAACAGTTGTTGTCTCATCTTTGAAACCTCTGTATTTGAACCATTGGTAAAATATCAGCTTTCTCTAACTCTATACATTGACGATCAAGTTCAGCAGAGCATTCTTTTGTCTGAGACAATAAACAAGTCTCATTCTCCCGGGTACTGAAAAAATAAGGCATTGAAATCAGTATTATACATTAAACATTAATTCTTTGAAAACCATATCAAATTCAGTTAAAAGATAAATTCAGTATCAATATTGCTGAAATTTAATTCATTTCATTGTTTATATGAAGAAGAAATTCAAAAATGTAATATTGAAATGGATTTAACGGATGATAATTTCATATCTTACAGGCAATCTGTGGGTAAACAATTTTTTCAAATTAAGGTAACAAACAATTAATGCAATTTTTCTGTATAGATGGTTAAAATAAAACATGTTACATATTAATAGCTGTTTGTTTATGGAAAAAATAATTTACAATTTGTACATTGTAGATTATCTGCTAAAATGAATGTTCAGAAACAGCAAAAGTGTGACAAATTAATTTAGTTACTTACTTACTTTTTAAGTATTTCATGTAAAAACTCTGTGTACTTTTGCTTTCAAATGGGCAATTTTGGTACCAGTCAGCTTTCCTTCATGAAATAACTGAAATATTCCAGTATGTTATAAATATTCTTTTCCATAGCAACTCACTTGATACTTTGTAACGTGGCCTGTCTAATGTAATAATCATTTTAAACCAATCTGACCATTTTAAGAAAAAGCATTGTCCCCAGCTAATAATAATAAATTTTCATTAACAGTGTTGAGTGAGCACATTTATATTCACATATTTATTATTAAGTTTATTTCAATTTTGCAACAATATATCTATCACTTCAACGTTTCAATTAATAAACAAGAGTCATACAGTATTATTATTGAAAGAACATTACCATTACAGACAAACTATTGTAAAAAGTCAAAATAATAAAGATAACATACAGAATATATCTTAATTAAGGTCAAAATCTCATTTTTCCACAAAGTTTTTCAATATACACATATATAGAAACTTCAAGAAAAGTCATTTTAGTGTGATTTGAGTACATAAGATCATTTTAATATTTTTGTCTTTATTTTGCCTGAATATTCCTTTAATGGAGTCTTTTTCATAGTCATTTGCAAAACTATACACATAAGGAAAATCAATGACCCTGGGACGGACCAATTTTAACCCAAGGGCCATTATTTGAAATTGGATTGAACAAACTTGGTAGACACCAATTAGAAGATGTTTCATGCTAAATATCTTAGCTCTAGCTCTTTGGGATTTTTCAAAGAAGACTTTTTAAGTTTTACTATATACATAAAGGGAAAAACAATGACGCCCCTGGGGCGGGGCCAATTTTGACCTCAGGGCTTTTATTTGAACAAACTTGGTAGACTTTGACTTGATGATGTTTCATGCCAAATATTTCAGCTCTAGCTCTTTCTGTTTTTTTAAAGAAGATTTTTAAGTTTTTTCTTTCGGTTGCCATGGCAACCAGACTTCTGCATGGAACTAAATTCTTTGAAAAGATTTTAAGTTCACTACCCAAGGTACATTCTTGTGAAGTTTGGATATAAATTGGTAGAGCAGTTCATGAGGAGATGTTGTTTAAAGTAAAAGTTTACGGACGGACACCGGACGGAGCAAGGACGCCGGACGAAAAGCGATCACAAAAGCTCACCATGTCACTTTGTTGCAGGTAAGCAGCACTGAACTTTCCATTATAAATTAAGTAATGCTTCTTAATTACAGCTGCTACAAGGAAAAACATATAATATATGACTTACTTATTAAAGGGACTCCACTGAGGTTTTTTGACATGATGGGACTGGAAATATTTTTTTGAGATTAATACTCCATTTGATGTAGATCTAAACTAATAACTTGTGTGCGAAAATTTCAGATCTTTAGCTTGCTCCGTTTTTCTAGAATAATTATTATAATAGTGAAAAAATGACCCAAAATTCGAATTGAACTGAGAATTAGTACAAACATCATTTTTCAATAAATTTCTTGTGTATTTCTTGGTTATATTTTATTAATATTTCTGTTTCAAGTGCTCATGTTTATCTATGTGAAGAAATAAAATTTGATGTTTTTAAGCTTATAAACCTAAGTGGAGTTCCTTTAAATGATAGCAATAGTACCTTACAGAAATTTACTGTAAATAAACAGCTTTTGTTTAAGTTATGAATCTACCTTTATACTGATAAATTTATTTCAGTTATGAAAAACTCTGTTAATCTTTCTTAAAACATGAAAACTGTATCCACTTCCTTGAAATTATATATTGTAACTTAAACACTATCATGAAGATTTACAACATAGTATAACATTTTTGCAAATTACCTAAATTACATATTTACAGTTGAACTTTGTCAGCTTGTCCTTGGATAGCTTGAATACCTCCCTTGGCTTGACCTCATTGCCCAGTCTTTGCCAACTTTCTATGTATTATATATTGTTGTACCTCGGATCACTAGAACACAGATTGCTGGAACACTCGAACCTGATCGCTGGTCACTTCTGCAGAAATATAGTGTAAATCACATCTCGGTAAAAACACAATAAGACAACAAAAGTTGTGGGTTAACATGTTCTAAATTAGTGATAGTTGGCGTCACATGTTTTCAACACCTTGTGATTGTGATAAAGCAATTAAGGTTAATTGATACAAAATTAGAGGTGTTGTTACCAATTTGTTTGTTATAATAATATTGTTTATTTGCCGTGTTAAGTTACAATACAAAGAAAAATACCATGTGAAATAAATAACTTTTTTCCAAGTGAACATCAGCTTACTCTACATGTAACTATATAAACTCAGTTTTCAAATGCCAGTAAAAAGAAATAATAGAAAAAAAAAAACTTTCTGTTAGTTTGTAGTATTTGAAATGTCTAATAAAAGCATGCATAACACCATGATCCCAATTTATAACACATATTTAAATGTTTTTCATTGTATCTACTGTCTTAGTCGATATATTGTCGATATTTGTCTCTTGAAATATCAATGCAAAATTTTCCATCAATGACAGCCCTAGTGTACTGTGAGTATTACTCATTTGAATGTAATGTATTTATTACGACAATATTTCTTAAGATTAAGAAGAAATGACATTTTCGACAAACTGATGTACTAACAAAAAAATTATGGGAACGTATTTAACATTCGACCGATGTATGTAAGCTGGAAAACCTTCAGACATATGTCAGATGTAAGATATAATACAATACATGATAATAGTTCAACCTCGGTTAGCTGTAACTACAGATCTCTGGAATAAATGTGCTGGTAGAATCCTGCGTGTTTAATCTGTGTTCGTGACTACTGTCAAAATAGTTAATTCCTTTATTTCACACTAAAGATGTTTAAGTTTGGTTGTATATGATGCAGCCACAATTCATATGTAAATCTACGTTATCAATCCATCGGAATTTAATTGCAAACATTGTATATTTATGATAAATTGTGATGCACTTTTCCATGTCGGCCATGTTGGACTATAACGTCTACTGCTATTACGTAGCAAGGGATAGTTCTTTATCCGATGATAATAATTTGTTAACTTATATAGTCACTTAGAAAATGTAATATTTTAATGTGATTATTCTTATTATAAGTTTTGATGTATATACTGTTGATGAGGTGCCTATTTTTGGCGAAGTTTGGATGAAATTGGCTCAGTAGTTTATGAGGAGATGTCATTTAAAGCAAAAGTTTACGGACGGACGCCGGACGGCCGGCCGGACGCCGGACGAAAAGCGATCACAAAAGCTCACCCTGTCACTTTGTGACAGGTGAGCTAATAAAACTAGAACTATCACTAAATGTGATTAATACCCCCACAAGACTGCTTCGGATATGAGGATGTTACTTGTAACAGAATACATTGTAAAAGAATTGAAATATAGAGTTATGGTTGTGGGCAATTAAAGATAGTTGTGGTTCTTATATGTTGCATTTCCTTTCAGTGTGGTTGGCCATTGATGAAGTTTAATTGAATTACTCTGTAATAAGTCCAGAAATACAAAGAAAAGGAACAAAGGGCAATAACTCTATAAATACTGAAGATAGAATTATCGTTCTTGTGCACTGCACTTCCTCTTATTGTGCTTGGCAATTGTATGAAGTTGTTTTGAATTCCAACCAGTACGTTTTAAGTTATGCTCCTGACAAGGAAAAGTATCAAAGGGCAGTAACTCTGTATTTTGTCACAATGGAGTTATGGCTCTTGTACACTGAACTTCCTTTTAATGTCCTTGACAACTGTATGAAGTTGTATTGAATTCCAAACAGTAGTTTTCAAGTTATGCTCTGGACAAGGAAAAGTAACAAAGGGCAATAACTCTGTAATTAGTCATGATGTAGTTATGGTTCTTGTGCACTGCACTTTCTCTCAATGTGCTTGACCATTGTATGAAGTTACGAGGTATGTTCAAAAAGTTCGTGGATTTTTGCTGTCTTTTTTTACTTGGTTCATAAAAACACCCTTAATGGATATGAATCGAACGAGTGTCTTTATTTTCAAAAGTAAGATTTACTTCTATTGTTAACTTTTATTTCCTTTACGAGTTATGTGCACTTTAATAACCATGGCAACGCAACATCGGCGCACGCCGAAATTCTCATATAATGTTTAAATATAAACAAATGTTAAAACAAATTAAATGATTGTTTTATGAAGCTAAATACAAGTAATCATCTATTAATATTTAAATGACATAAATCTGACTTTTGGCGTCGTTATGACGTTGAATAGGTGAACAAACAGGTTTTGAGCGGCAGTAGACAGACTGGTAAGTTGGGAAGTATTAACCCCGTTTAAAAACTAGAAATTCGCTCTTTCGGAAATTTTTACCAATAAATGTGGTATACTCCTTTATATTTTATGAGGTTATTAAATTAACGAAAAACAATGAGTTTTTGAGCAAGTCTCTTGGTTTCAGGTCGCGCAAGCGATTCAAATACGGCAAATACATGCTCACAGACAGAAAGGGCGACGAGTAATTTTAGCGCAAATTGTTGGGACGTTTGTAACGTCAATTGCAAAAGATCTACAGAATTTCAGACATTATGACAGTTTTGCGAGATGTCCAACATGTTTAATTTCTGCATCGGGTCTATGCATTCAATTCTGAAAAAAAACAATTGAATTAAAATAATATTTTATTTCATTCATCAGGATATATGCGTTTTTACAATAAATACTTGTAGTTATTATTTGTATTTCCTGTATTTACCCTGGTCCGTTTGATAATTAATGCTAGCCGGTGTTCAGTAGATTTACCGCATAGAATAATTGTCAGTTGATAAAATATTTTCTTTATCATCGATAATCATATTGTTTAAAGATCGGACGAGGGCGGTTTCAAATTGATACTATCAATCAACAATTGAATTAACTTAATAACACTGTCCGTTTAGTGTCTAAATTACCCAAAAATCCCGATAAAGAGCGGAAAGTATGCGGTACTCGGACCTTTATACGGGGAATGGAGCGAATAGATGACCACTTTATATCTCGGGTCATCATCGCAAACAGAAAAATGGTTTTGGTATATGATCCGCAGATATTGAACACTTAAAAGAGTACTTTCAGAAACAATGACGCTGGTAAAATGTTTCATTTATATTGCGACGTCACGAACGTCATTTTGTTTCATCATCAGCGTGCGCCGGATTGTGCGCCCCTTGTGATTTGTAACTGTCACAGATTTTTTATTTGTAAACATATTGTATTGATTTTTTCATTGTTTATTAAGGACATATTTTCATATATGGCTCTTGTAAAATCATATACGCAAATTAAAAAATGTGAACAGTAGAGCCACAGTCCACGAACTTTTTGAACAGCCCTCGTATATTGAATTCCAACCATTAGTCTTCAAGTTATAGTCCGGACAAAAAAGGCAATGGAAAAGTAACAAAGGGCAATAACTCTGTAATTACTTTAGATAGAGTTATGGTTCTTGTGCACTGCACTTCCCCTTATTGTGTTTGACAATTGTATGAAGTTGTTTTGAATTCCAACCAGTAGTTTTCAAGTTATGCCCCGGACAAGGAAAAGTAACAAAGGGCAATAACTCTGTAATTAGTCAAGATAGAGTTATGGTTCTTATGCACTGCACTTCCTCTCAATGTGCTTGACCATTGTATGTAGTTATATTGAATTCCAACCATTAGTCTTCCAGTTATGGTCCGGACAAAAAATCAATGGAAAAGTAACAAAGGGCAATAACTCTGTAATTACTTTAGATAGAGTTATGGTTCTTATGCACTGCACTTCCTCGTATTGTGTTTGACAATTGTATGAAGTTGTTTTGAATTCCAACAAATAATTTTCAAGTTATGCCCCGGACAAGGAAAAGCAACAAAGGGCAATAACTCTGTAATTAGTCAAGATAGAGTTATGGTTCTTGTGCACTGCACTTCCTCTTAATGTGCTTGACCATTGTATGTAGTTATATTGAATTCAAATTATTAGTCTTCCAGTTATGGTCCGGACAAAAAAATCAATGGAAAAGTAACAAAGGGCAATAACTCTGTAATTACTTTAGATAGAGTTATGGTTCTTGTGCACTGCACTTCCCCTTATTGTGTTTGACAATTGTATGAAGTTGTTTTGAATTCCAACAAGTAATTTTCAAGTTATGGCCCGGACAAGGAAAAGTAACAAAGGGCAATAACTCTGTAATTAGTCAAGATAGAGTTATGGTTCTTGTGCACTGCACTTCCTCTCAATGTGCTTGACCACTGTATGTAGTTATATTGAATTCCAACCATTAGTCTTCAAGTTGTGGTCCGGACAAAAAAAAGCAATGGAAAAGTAACAAAGGGCAATAACTCTGTAATTACTTTAGATAGAGTTATGGTTCTTGTGCACTGCACTTCCCCTTAATGTGTTTGACAATTGTATGAAGTTGTTTTGAATTCCAACCAGTAGTTTTTAAGTTATGCCCCGGACAAGGAAAAGTAACAAAGGGCAATAACTCTGTAATTAGTCAAGATAGAGTTATGGTTCTTGTGTACTGCACTTCCTCTCAATGTGCTTGACCATTGTATGTAGTTATATTGAATTCCAACCATTAGTCTTCAAGTTATGGTCCGGACAAGGAAAATGCAACGGACGTCTGGACCGACCGACCAACCGACCGACCGACCACCGGGTGACTCCTATATACCCCCCCAAACTTCGTTTTTGGGGGTATAAAAAGGAAGATAACAAGTAAAAGATAACAAATGGTTGATAACAGAGAGTAACAAATGGCAGAATAATAAATGAGATATAAAACTTCAGAAAAGTTTAAACCAAATTTTACTTACTACATTACATGTAATTATTTTTCAAGAAAGAAAGAAAACAAACTTACATTTCTATTTGATATTCCAGCTGGTACTGCCTTTCTTGCGTTTGTTTCAAGTCATTGTTATACTTAAACAGTTGTTGTCTCATCTTTAAAACCTCTGTGTTTGAACCATTGGTAAAATTGTCAGCTTTCTCTAACTCTATACATTGACGATCAAGTTCAGCAGAGCATTCTTTTGTCTGAGACAACAAACAAGTCTCATTCTCCCGGGTACTGAAAAAATAAGGCATTGAAATCAGTATTATACATTAAACATTAATTCTTTGAAAACCATATCAAATTCAGTTAAAAGATAAATTCAGTATCAATATTGCTGAAATTTAATTCATTTCATTGTTTATATGAAGAAGAAATTCAACAAGAACTGTCGGAGGACAGTAACGCTCGACTATTCGAAAATTTGTCACAAGGGTGTTTCATTGAGTATAATAATGCTTACCTATATGAATACATAAAATTGTCCGAAAAGGTACAAACTCTTCAAGTTTCAATACATTCCCTTCAGTAGTTATGGAGATACAAGCTTATATGCAAACACTTAACCAAGAATTCATGAGTCGAAAAAGGGGCATAAATATGTAAAAAAGCAAATCAGAGTTATGGGACTTGTGCCAATTATCTTAGATAATCACAGAGAACAAGTGTGTGAAGTTTCAATCCATTCCCTTCAGTAGTTATGGAGATACCAGCTTACATACAAAAACTTAACCAAGAATTTCTAAGTCGAAAAAGGGGCATAATTATGAAAAAAAGCAAATCAGAGTTATGGGACTTGTGCCAATCATCTTAGATAATCACAGAGAACAAGTGTGTGAAGTTTCAATCCATTCCCTTCAGTAGTTATGGAGATACAAGCTTACATACAAAAACTTAACCAAGAATTTCTAAGTCGAAAAAGGGGCATAATTATGAAAAAAAGCAAATCAGAGTTATGGGACTTGTGCCAATCATCTTAGATAATCACAGAGAACAAGTGTGTGAAGTTTCAATCCATTCCCTTCAGTAGTTATGGAGATACCAGCTTACATACAAAAACTTAACCAAGAATTTCTAAGTCGAAAAAAGGGGCATAATTATGAAAAAAAGCAAATCAGAGTTATGGGACTTGTGCCAATCATCTTCGATAATCACAGAGAACAAGTGTGTGAAGTTTCAATCCATTCCCTTCAGTAGTTATGGAGATACCAGCTTACATACAAAAACTTAACCAAGAATTTCTAAGTCGAAAAAGGGGCATAATTATGAAAAAAAGCAAACCAGAGTTATGGGACTTGTGCCAATCATCTTAGATAATCACAGAGAACAAGTGTGTGAAGTTTCAATACATTCCCTTCAGTAGTTATGGAGATACCAGCTTACATACAAAAACTTAACCAAGAATTTCTAAGTCGAAAAAGGGGCATAATTATGAAAAAAAGCAAATCAGAGTTATGGGACTTGTGCCAATCATCTTAGATAATCACAGAGAACAAGAGTGTGAAGTTTCAATCCATTCCCTTCAGTAGTTATGGAGATACCAGCTTACATACAAAAACTTAACCACAGGGACGCCGACGCCGACGCCGACAAATGGGTGACTGCATTAGCTCGATTATTCTGCGAATAGTCGAGCTAAAAATGTAATATTGAAATGGATTTAACGGATGATAATTTCATATCTTACAGTCAATCTCTGGGTAAACAATTTTTTCAAATTAAGGTAACAAAACAATTAATGCAATTTTTCTGTATAGATGGTTAAAATAAAACATGTTACATATTAATAGCTGTTTGTTTATGGAAAAAATAATTTACAATTTGTACATTGTAGATTATCTGCTAAAATGCATGTTCAGAAACAGCAAAAGTGTGACAAATTAATTTAGTTACTTACTTACTTTTTAAGTATTTCATGTAAAAACTCTGTGTACTTTGCTTTCAAATGGGCAATTTTGGTACCAGTCAGCTTTCCTTCATGAAATAACTGAAATATTCCAGTATGTTATAAATATTCTTTTCCATAGCAACTCACTTGATACTTCGTAACGTGGCCTGTCTAATGTAATAATCATTTTAAACCAATCTGACCATTTAAGAAAAAGCATTGTCACCAGCTAATAATCAATTTTCATTAACAGTGTTGAGTGACCACATTTATATTCACATATTTATTATTAAGTTTATTTCAATTTTGCAACAATATATCTATCACTTCAACGTTTCAATTAATAAACAAGAGTCATACAGAATTATTATTGAAAGAACATTACCATTACAGACAAACTATTGTAAAAAGTCAAAATAATAAAGATAACATACAGAATATATATTAATTAAGGTCAAAATCTCATTTTTCCACAAAGTTTTTCAATATACACATATATAGAAACTTCAAGAAAAGTCATTTTAGTGTGATTTGAGTACATAAGATCATTTTAATATTTTTGTCTTTATTTTGCCTGAATATTCCTTTAATGGAGTCTTTTTCATAGTCATTTGCAAAACTATACACATAAGGAAAATCAATGACCCTGGGACGGGCCAATTTTAACCCCAGGGCCATTATTTGAAATTGGATTGAACAAACTTGGTAGACACCAATTAGAAGATGTTTCATGCTAAATATCTTAGCTCTAGCTCTTTGGGATTTTTCAAAGAAGACTTTTTAAGTTTTACTATATACATAAAGGGAAAAACAATGACGCCCCTGGGGCGGGGCCAATTTTGACCTCAGGGCTTTTATTTGAACAAACTTGGTAGACTTTGACTAGATGATGTTTCATGCCAAATATTTCAGCTCTAGCTCTTTCTGTTTTTTTAAAGAAGATTTTTAAGTTTTTTCTTTCGGTTGCCATGGCAACCAGACTTCTGCATGGAACTAAATTCTTTGAAAAGATTTTAAAGTTCACTACCCAAGGTACATTCTTGTGAAGTTTGGATAAAATTGGTAGAGCAGTTTATGAGGAGATGTTGTTTAAAGTAAAAGTTTACGGACGGACACCGGACGGAGCAAGGACGCCGGACGAAAAGCGATCACAAAAGCTCACCATGTCACTTTGTTGCAGGTAAGCAGCACTGAACTTTCCATTATAAATTAAGTAATGCTTCTTAATTACAGCTGCTACAAGGAAAAACATATAATATATGACTTACTTATTAAAGGGACTCCACTGAGGTTTTTTGACATGATGGGACTGGAAATATTTTTTTGAGATTAATACTCCATTTGATGTAGATCTAAACTAATAACTTGTGTGCGAAATTTCAGATCTTTAGCTTGCTCCGTTTTTCTAGAATAATTATTATAATAGTGAAAAATGACCCAAAATTCGAATTGAACTGAGAATTAGTACAAACATCATTTTCAATAAATTTCTTGTGTATTTCTTGGTTATATTTTATTAATATTTCTGTTTCAAGTGCTCATGTTTATCTATGTGAAGAAATAAAATTTTATGTTTTTAAGCTTATAAACCTAAGTGGAGTTCCTTTAAATGATAGCAATAGTACCTTACAGAAATTTACTGTAAATAAACAGCTTTTGTTTAAGTTATGAATCTACCTTTATACTGATAAATTTATTTCAGTTATGAAAAACTCTGTTAATCTTTCTTAAAACATGAAAACTGTATCCACTTCCTTGAAATTATATATTGTAACTTAAACACTATCATGAAGATTTACAACATAGTATAACATTTTTGCAAATTACCTAAATTACATATTTACAGTTGAACTTTGTTAGCTTGTCCTTGAATCGCTTGAATACCTCCCTTGGCTCGACCTCATTGCCCAGTCTTTGCCAACTTCCTATGTATTATACATGTATATTGTTGTACCTCGGATCGCTAGAACACAGATTGCTGGAACACTCGAACCTGATCGCTGGTCACTTCTGCAGGAGTGAAACAGTATTTTGTAAAAATTCATGCATTTTCAAATCAAATATTGCTTTTACCTCATTCTGTTACTGATAGAAGAGATCGCCATCATTCCAACACAAATTTCTGTCTGAAAAATGCCATCGGAAACTGTAATAATACTTAATGAAGAAATGGGTAAATACAGAATCAGATGTTTTAAAGAAATACCACAGAAGAAAAATGACTATATTATTAATATATTGGCCAAATTTTGTACCATGAATTGTTTAATAGGTATAGTAGCAGGAACTTTGCCCGAGGATTGAACTAAGGGCCACTGGATAAATAATCTGATGCTCTCTCTCTATTGAATGTCCAACTAAATACATCAGTTTAATAACAAGGCCATCCTTAAACAAGAGGGCCATGAATGGCCCTGAGGTCGCTCACCTGTATATAGGCCCCCCAACCCCCATCCCCCCCCCCCCAAAGTTGCAGAGCCAATTTAACCCAAGGGCTTTTATTTGCACAAACTTGGTAGACACCCATAAGAAGATGTTTCATGCTAAACATTTAAGCTCTAGCTCATTGGGCTTTTTAAAAAAAAAGATTTTTTTTAAAGTTTTTACTATACACATATAGTTAAAAACAATGACACCCCTGGGGCCGGGCCAGTTTTGACCCCAGGGCTTTTATTTGAACAAACTTTGTAGACACTTACTAGAAGATGTTTCATGCTTAATATCTAAACTCTAGCTATTTGGGTTTTTTCAAAGAAGATTTAAGTTTTTGCTAAACACATATAAAGAAAATCAATGACCCCGGGGCGGGGCCAATTTTGACCCCTGGCCTTGTATTTGAACAAACTTGGTAGACACCTATTAGAACATGTTTGATGCTCAATATCTTAGCCATAGCTCTTTGAGTTCTTTAAAAGAAGATTTTTTAAGTTTTTACTATATGCATATAGGGAAACTCAATGACCCCCCGGGGCGGGGCCAATTTTCACCCAAGGGCTTTTATTTGAACAAACTTGGTAGACACCCAATAGAACATGTTTCATGCTAAATATCTTAGCTCTAGCTCTTTGGGTTCTTTAAAAGAAGATTTTTTAAGTTTTTACTATATGCATATAGGGAAAATCAATGACCCCCGGGGCGGAGCCAATTTTGACCCTAGGGCTTTTATTTGAACAAACTTGGTAGACACACACTAGAAGATGTTTCATGCCAAATATCTAAGCTCTAGCTCTTTGAGTTCTTTAAAAGAAGATTTTTTAAGTTTTTTACAATATGCATATAGGGAAAATCAATGACCCCCGGGGCGGGGCCAATTTTCACCCCAGGGCTTTTATTTTGAACAAACTTGGTAGACACCCATTTGAACATGTTTTCATGCTAAATATCTTAGCTCTAGCTCTTTGGGTTCTTTAAAAGAAGATTTTTTTAAGTTTTTACTATATTGCATATAGGGAAAATCAATGACCCCCCGGGGCGGGGCCAATTTTGACCCCAGGGCTTTTATTTGAACAAACTTGGTAGACACTCACTAGAAGATGTTTCATGCCAAATATCTAAGCTCTAGCTCTTTGAGTTCTTTAAAAGAAGATTTTTTAAGTTTTTACTTTATGCATATAGGGAAAATCAATGACCCCCGGGGCGGGGCCAATTTTCACCCCAGGGCTTTTATTTGAACAAACTTGGTAGACACCCATTAGAACATGTTTCATGCTAAATATCTTAGCTCTAGCTCTTTGGGTTCTTTAAAAGAAGATTTTTTAATTTTTTACTATATGCATATAGGGGAAAATCAATGACCCCCCGTGGCGGGGCCAATTTTGACCCCAGGGCTTTTATTTGAACAAACTTGGTAGACACTCACTAGAAGATGTTTCATGCCAAATATCTAAGCTCTAGCTCTTATGGTTTTTTAAAAGAAGATATTTAAAGTTTTTTCTTTCGGTTGCCATGGCAACCAGAGTTCTGCATGGAATTAAAGTATTCCTGTGAAGTTTGGATGAAATTGGCTTAGTGGTTTATGAGGAGATGTCATTTAAAGTAAAAGTTTACGGACGGACGGACGGACGACGGACGGACGGACGCCGGACGAAAAGCGATCACAAAAGCTCACCCTGTCACTTTGTGACAGGTGAGCTAAAAAATGTTTGTTTGCAGTAAAGCGACCGACTCACAAAATTTGCCCCTACTCAAAATTTTTTATTCATGGTCTGAATAAATTTTTTATTTTTAATCAGAAAAATTATGCCTTGTGCTTTCTTTTCGTTCTTTAAAGGTTAATTCAAAGAAATAAAATGTAGTTCTTATTAAATAAGAATTCAGTTATCAATTTATTAATTGTTACCAGATTAGCAAGCATATACTCGTCCAGCATTTTTGAAATTCCATGTTCATTTGGGAGTACAGTTCAATAAACAAGAGGGCCATGATGGCCCTGAGGTGCGCTCACCTGTATATAGGCCCCCCCCCAACCCCACCCCTCCAACGTTGCAGAGCCAATTTAACCCAAGGGCTTTTATTATTTGCACATACTTGGTAGACACCCATAAGAAGATGTTTTTCATGCTAAACATTTAAGCTCTAGCTCATTGGGCTTTTTAAAAGAAGATTTTTTAAAAGTTTTTACTATACACATATAGTTAAAAACAATGACACCCCTGGGGCCGGGCCAGTTTTGACCCGAGGGCTTTTATTTGAACAAACTTTGTAGACACTTACTAGAAGATGTTTCATGCTTAATATCTAAACTCTAGCTATTTGGGTTTTTTCAAAGAAGATTTTAAAGTTTTTGCTATAACACATATAAAGAAAATCAATGACCCCCGGGGCGGGGCCAATTTGACCCCTGGGCTTGTATTTGAACAAACTTGGTAGAACACCTATTAGAACATGTTTTGATGCTCAATATCTTAGCCTAGCTCTTTCAGTTCTTTAAAAGAAGATTTTTAAGTTTTTTACTATATGCATATAGGAAAATCAATGACCCCCCGGGGCGGGGCCAATTTTCACCCCAGGGCTTTTTATTTGAACAAACTTGGTAGACACCCATTAGAAACATGTTTCATGCTAAATATCTTAGCTCTAGCTCTTTGGTTTCTTTAAAAGAAGATTTTTTTAAGTTTTTACTATATGCATATAGGGAAAATCAATGACCCCCCGGGCGGGGCCAATTTTGACCCCAGGGCTTTTATATGAACAAACTTGGTAGACACTCACTAGAAGATGTTTCATTTGCCAAATATCTAAGCTCTAGCTCTTTGAGTTCTTTAAAAGAAGATTTTTTTTAAGTTTTTACTATATGCATATAGGGAAAATCAATGACCCCCGGGGCGGGGCCAATTTTCACCCCAGGGCTTTTATTTGAACAACTTGGTAGACACAACACTAGAAGATGTTTCATGCCAAATATCTTAGCTCTAGCTCTTTGAGTTCTTTAAAAAGAAGATTTTTAAGTTTTTACTATATGCATATAGGGAAAATCAATGACCCCCGGGGCGGGGCCAATTTTCACCCAGGGCTTTTATTTTAACAAACTTGGTAGACACCCATTAGAACATGTTTCATGCTAAATATCTTAGCTCTAGCTCTTTGGGTTCTTTAAAAGAAGATTTTTTAAGTTTTTACTATATGCATATAGGGAAAATCAATGACCCCCCCGGGGCGGGGCCAATTTTGACCCCAGGGCTTTTATTTGAACAAACTTGGTAGACACTCACTAGAAGATGTTTCATGCCAAATATCTAAGCTCTAGCTCTTATGGTTTTTAAAAGAAGATATTTAAAGTTTTTTCTTTCGGTTGCCATGGCAACCAGAGTTTTGCATGGAATTAAATTCTTTGAACAATTTTTAAAGTTGACCACCAAAGGAACATTCCTGTGAAGTTTGGATGAAATTGGCTTAGTGGTTTATGAGGAGATGTCATTTAAAGTAAAAGTTTACGGACGGACGACGGACGGACGGCGGACGGACGGACGCCGGACGAAAAGCGATCACAAAAGCTCACCCTGTCACTTTGTGACAGGTGAGCTAAAAAAAAAAAAAAAAAAAAAAATCGACCTACCTACCCACCTTGAAAATTCTGGGTCGGGTTACTGCAAACAAACATTTTTTTAAGGATGGCCCAAAGTTTTAGAAAATTTCTTAAAATTGAAACAAAAACATTGTTGAAGATCATTTTAAGCATTGAATTATTACAGATAACGTTTAACGGCCACACTTATATTGCTGCAAAGTTATCACAATTTCAGCACATTGTACTTTACCCAGTTTTGTTTTGTTTGGTAGAAACTTGTTGATGGATAATGTCAAATCATGAAATGAAATAAACAAAATTGCCTGTACAACATTATCACAACTTGAAACCTGAAAGCCCTGCAAATTATCCTATTATATAAATATTTGAATATTGTTTACTGGGTTCAAAACAGACAACATGCTATTTCTAATGTCTGGATAGATAAAAAATCAACAGTCAATTAATGTCTCCCGTTATTTGAAGTGTGATAAATTCTTACCTGTACTTTCTTCACATTTCATAATAACATGGATTATAAAATATGTCTGAATAGTTGGTCAAGGGATCAAAATATGAGTTGTCTCCCTTCCACTGATTATACATGTATATGTAACTTCTCCTTCTCAATCCTGAAGTCAAGTAATAGATTATGTACACATATTTTTTACATATTTTTTATACTTTTGATATAATCTTGTAAGGGATTTGTTTCATGTAACATCTTTAATGATAAAATAAAAGGAAGAGTTGTAATTATATATTAATGTTAATGACCAAAACCCACAAGCACAATGTTTATAAATGTTCACTTAATCTTTTTTACATTTACATGTAGTATCAAATTTATATAATTATTCACAAATTATTTATAACTGTTCTAAACTAAGAATAACTAAATTTTATGTTAATTTAACTAACTTTCTACAACAATGAAAAACTGATTTCTTCAATAAAAAATAAATTCTTTGAATACAAATCACTTTATACAAATTTAAACATCTACTTATTGGGCCAGCTGGTCAAAAAAATCAAAATTTAAGTTGCCTCCCTTGCACTGTAAATAAATATACAAACTAAATCTTGTAAATATAAGTTTTTTTGTAAAAGAAAAACCAAAACCAAAAATAATGCTCAACAATAACAACATGACTATATAAACTATACATGGTGCAACTTTATTTCATCCGTAAAAAATAAATTACATGTACATCATCACTCGGTGTATAGTAACTATGAAGTTTAAAGTTGTGAGTGATTTTACAAACTTGCAATAAATTGTGTGCAATTCATTGACTTTACAATGTAAAAAAAATGAACAGAAATAACAAAACTCTTAAAAAGTTCAAATTGTGAAGTCAATCTACACATTTCAGTATTCATCTTTTAGTTTATTTTACATACTTACATGGGGCGTCCGTGGCTGAGTGGTTTAGGTCGTTGACTTCAAACCACTTGCCCCACACCGCTGTGGGTTCGAATCCCTACAATGACTGGATTCTTTCATGTGAGGAAGCTATCGAGCTAGCTTACGGAACTTCGGTGGTTCTACTCAGGTGCCCGTTCGTGCCTGAATGCACGGAGGGGCACCTGAGGTCTTCCTCCACCAGTAAAGCTGGAACATCACCAAATGACCTATACTGTGTCGGTGTGACGTAAAACCCAATCAAACAAACAAACATACTTACGTGAACAAGCATACTTGACTAAGTCAGTAGCTATTCCAGTATCTTGGAATAACACTTAAAGGGACTCCACTGAGGTTTAAAAGCCTAAAAACCTAACATTTGAATTTCTTACAAAAACAAGCAATTATCATAGTATTGCAAGCAATCCATAAGTCCCCTACTGGTTAGAATCCCATCAACATTCTGAAGGGCCATTGGCCATTCACTAATGTTTCATTTTTTCTCTATTTTAAATAAATTTGTTGGAAAAGTTCTTTAAATGTGATCACAGGAAACAGTTTTTATCAACAGACAGACAGACGGACTGAAGGACACTCTAAAGTTAATATTTGAAACATCCCTGTTACCAAAATATAACATTTTTTAAAAGCAAAATTCTTAAAGAGGAGATAACTCTTGAAATTTCATAAAAATTTTCAGCTCTTTTTGACTAATCACAAATATTGTTATATTTTCCATGTTTTAAGCCTATTTGTTGCCAAGGCAACCAATATTTTTTTCAAAATAGGAAGAACACATGCATAATCTCAAGACTGCCACCCATATGTCAAGTTTCATAAAAATATTTCCAGTACTTTTTGAGTTATCACTGGATTCAGTTTATGTATAAAATTTGCCATATTTTCAGTCTATGTGTTGATGTGTTGCCATAGCAACCAGAATTTTCAAAATAGGAAGAAAAGAAAAAGACGTGCATAATCTCCAGACTGCCATCTACCCATATTACAAATTTCATAAAAATATTTCCAGTACTTTTTGTGTTAACACTGGATCCAGTTTATGTGTAAAATTTGCCATATTTTCAGTCTATTTGTTGCCATAGCAACCAGAATTTTCAACATAGGAAGAAAAGAAAAAGACATGCATAATCTCCAGACTGCCATCTATCCTGATATATCAAGTTTCATAAAAATATTTTCAGTACTTTTCAAGTTATCGCGGGATCCAGTTTTGTGGACAGACGGATTGACAGACAGATGGACAGACAGACAGACGGAGGGTAAACCTAAAGTCCCCTCCAGTAAACCGGTAGGGGACTAAAAAGCTGGGACATGTCAAACAGACATATATGCAAAGATAGTTAAGAAATATACTTTGAAAAAAATTGAAAATCGTACTTTTATGCTTTTCTTAGCCCGATTTGAGTGAATAGTTTAAACGCTTTTCATTTTGGGTCATTTTTTTACAATTTGACTAATTATTCTGGAAAAACAAAGTGCGCAAATGATCTGAAATTTTGCACAAAAATTAGTGGTCTAAACCTGCTTCAAATGGTGCATTTATCTGGAAAAAATATGTTCAGTCTTGTCATGTCAAAAAACCTCAGTGGAGTCCCTTTAATGCCCCTGGTTGAACGAAAAAGCCTGTAGACAAAATAAAATTAAACCAACGACCTACCATATGCCTGTCACAATTTTACTTTTCTGTTTGTTTCATAGGCTCTTGTACAT